TCCCTTCCTGCTCAGAAATGCTGGGATTTCAAGACCTGCTAGAATCTGGGGCTTTCCAGCCACAGTGCTTTCCACAAAGCAGGGCGCTTCCTGGGTGAGGATGGTGGGCGGCCTGGCCTGGAGCCACGAGGGCTGCTCTGGGGGCTCTGTGACCCCCGTGGCTTTGGCCTGTGACTCCCCCACAGGCAGAGGAGGGCAGCTGTGGGCCTCCTTGAGCTTTCCCGACCACCATTCATACTTACCAGGCTTGCACTTGGTTGCACGTAACAGAAACTAACAACAGTGTCTGTCTTTCAGAGTGGGACCCAACAGGCCAAGTGGAAGGAGAGGCTACCGGGCAGAAACTGACGCAGGGGAAGATGGCGCGCTCCTGCCTTCACAGGCTTCCCACTCCCTGACGGGTCAGTTTATAACTGGCCCCCTCATGTGACTCGGCTGTATTTTTCCCCATCACTTATTTTCACCTGACATTCCATTCTGTCTTTGTTTACTTGTCTGTCTTGGTCTCCACTGCCTTCCCTACTTTCCAGGACACTGAGCAGCAAGTAGTAGGTGCTCAATAAATACCTGTTAAATAAATGAATACATTGTATCATTTAAATTTCTCAACAATTTCAGGGGGCCAGCAGGGCAGAGTAGAAACTGAGGCCTGGAAACGGTTTCACTAAGTTACCAGAAAAAAACAGGAACTAAGGACTGTCAATCCCTAACCAGGGCCCACGTGTGTGGGAGGGCACAGAGGCTTCTGACACACACCTGGCATATGCCCCCGACCTCTAAAAGGTCTCATCCAGGCTCTGCTGAGAACTTTGATAAACTACCAGAGGATAAGGTGATAAAGAGGAAAGGAGATAAGCATTCCCAACGAGAGCTGATAGGTAGGAATTTCAGAAAGCAGTGCCCTGCAGATTGGGAAAAGAAGGTGACAGTATCATAAACTTCAATTCCACCCCAGCACTGCTACTTAGCCTGCCCCTAGAGGTGGCGAGCTCCCGGTCACTGGAGGTATTCAAGCAGAGTCTGAATGACTATTTAGGGCATGCCTGAGTTGGAGAGTCCTCCACACCTCCCAGTAAGAGAGGACAGGTAGCCTCCATCCCAGCTGTGGGCAGCTGGGCCCCAACACCAATATAAAATGGGGCTTTTGCGCCACCTGGTGGATATAATTTTAAACTGCAGGCCTTTCCCTGGAGAGTATCCCTCAGCGCTGGAGTGCCCAGAATCTGTTTCCGGCATCCTCCTGAACTTCAAGGAGCATAAGGCCCCAGGCTCCCTGTGTCTTCAGACCTCACCCCTCTAGAATGAATGCAAGAAGACGGGATCCGAAGTCTAGGTGATTTCCTGAGAGACACTTCCCCTGTGCCTCCCAAGCAGGACTCACCAGCGCTTGACCCCTATTGTCCCCAGAGGAGTGGCATGGTCTGTTCCTGTACATCTGCTTCCCTCAGTTAGGTGCTAACTTCTCAAGTTCTATCCCCTTTGTTGGTTCATCACCAATCCCAGCCCCCAATGTATGGGCAATTACCCTACAAGAATATTGAGATTTTTTTAAAAAAATTAAGATAATGATGTCATATATAAAAATACAGTATCTATGCACAACAGAGTTTTACTCCACCATAAAAAATAATGAAATTATGGCATTAGCCAGCAAACGGATGGAACTGGAGAACATCACGCTAAGTGAAATGAGTCGGACTCCAAAAAATCAAGGGTCAAATTTGCAAAGAAGGCAGGTTGCCAGGGTTCAGGTATCATAAAGATAAAGGGGAGACCAGGCAGCGTGCGGTGGCGCACACCTGTATCCCCGTGGCTTGGGAGGCTGAGTTAGGAGGATGGCAAATTCAAAGCCAGCCTCAGCAACTTAGGCCCTAAGCAACTCAGCAAGATAAATGGCCAATCAGTGGAGGAGAAGTAGAAGAAAGAGATGGAGAGGGAGGGAGGGAGGAGAGGAAGGGGCAGGAAACATGGAATGGATTTAACAAAATCATGTTATACATGTATATAATTATTCCACAGGAAATTTCAACCTTATGTATACATAGAAAGTACCAACCGAAGATAAATAAATGAGCAAAAGAAAGATCAGAATAGAAGGAGAATAAATACGGGGAAGGAGGGAGGGAGGGAAAGGGGGAGGATGGGGACTGAAATTGAATTCTGTGCATGTATGATTTGGTCAAAATGAACCCAACTACTATGTATAAAGCTCTAATTAAAAAAAAAAAAAAAAACTGTCTTAAATACGAATTGTGATTCCAGAACAACACACTTTAAACTCCCATCCATCCCAGTTTGGGGGTGGTTTCCAGGGCGGCTTCACTCAGAGGTCCATGGAGTGACAGAGTCAGCAGGAGGAGGGGCCCCGACACCAAGCACCTGAGAAGCTCCTGCGCCCTCTTCCCACTCACACCAGACGCTGGGCCCTGCGGAGGCCCAGGACCTTGTTCTGTGAATGTTCTCCAAATTTTGCATGAACTTTTTTGGAACCAGGGGTTGAACCCAGGGGCACTTAACCACTGAGATACACCCCCCAGCCCCTGTTTCATTTTGAGTCAGAGTCTTGCTAAATTGCTTAGGGCCTCGCTAAGTGGCTGAGGCTGCCTTTGAACTTGCGATCCTCCTGCCTTGGCCTCCCAAGTCGCTGGGGTTCCAGGTGTGCCCCACTGTGCCTGGCTCCTACACAACTTTTGAGAGACACTTGAGTGGACCATGTGGGTTAATGTTGTGGGAGGGACCAGAGGAAGAAGCAGGGAAAGGCTGTGCTGTGTTCCAACTTGAAGTGTCCCTGAAGGCCCGTGTGGCACAGGCTTGGTCCCCTGTGTGGTGCGATTCAGAGCTGGTGGAAACTTTGAGGCAGGGCCAAAGGGGAGGAGTTAGGTCACTGGGGGTGTGCCCTCGAAGAGGACAGTGGGACCCCAGCCCTTTCCATCTCCCTTTTCCACCGTGAACTCCATGAACTCCTGTCAAGAACTCCCACCATGAAATGGGTCTGCCTGATCACGGACTGGAACATTCAAAACCGTGAGCCAAAGCAAACCTTTTCTCTTAATAAGCTGATCATCTCGGTACATGTTACAGTTGTGGAAAGCCGTTTAACACTAGGATCTCCACTAGGATCCTCAGTGACAGAGACCATGGCCACCCGCGTCAGCCCAGGCTTCCTCAGGAAAAGCTCAAGACACGGAGGGCCACCAGGATTAAAGAAAAATGCTGTGTCTGGAACTTCCCTGAGAGGGAAAAAGCCTTCATGGGCAAGAATCCGTGCAGTGGTGAAGAAGGAGGGTAAGGGCGCTCGTGGTTGGTGCTGGGAACCATCAACTGGGTGTAGACAGTGACTTATGTCATTTGCCTCATTAACTAACACACTCGCTTTGTTCATAGACTCCGTGTACCTCAGCACTTAACGAATCTGACAAAAAAAGAGAAGGTGACTGGCCACTGTTTCAAACCATGAAAATATCATCTCCTGCCTTTTAGGATTCCTGGTCAGAGAGTGCATTTTGACAGTGTCCAGGGACCTGCCACTTTACAGAAGTCTAATCATGTAAAAAAAAAAAAAAGAATGGAAACTCTGAGTTTCACCTGGTGCCAGGTATATCATAGGTGTCAGTTAATGCTCAGAGAAGGATACCCAGGTGTCCATCCCCAGACCAGGGCCTAATGTGCCTGGGAGGTGGAGGGAAGGATGGAGCTCAGCCCAAGGCTGGAGAGAGTTCCAGAATCCAGGGCCCGGGTCGGGCCTCTGCCCACGCCTGCTCTCCCAGCGGCCCACTCCCCGCCTGATGGCCTCACGGTGGGTGAGACTCACTGCCCTGGGGTAAGCAGAGCCCCTGGGATACGCACCCCTGAACAAACACCCACATGTCAGCCGGCAAATGCCAAAGCTGTAACTAGAAGAGTGACCCCTGAACCCCCCTCTCCCCAGCCCTCTTCCACCTGGACCTTGAAGAAGTGAGGTCACTCTGGGAGCCAGGGGCTGGGTGGAGCGTGGCCACATGACCTCCACAAGCTCCTTGTCCTCTCTGGCCTCAGTCCCCTGATCCATATAATGAGGGCTGACGGAGTCTGACAGTCCCCTTCTTTGGAGTCATGTAGATCCAGGCTGAGGCACAGGCAGGGAGTGGAGCCGTCTCGGGGTCAGTGAGAGGACCAAGGACTTCCCCACCGAACCTTCTTTCCAAGCCACCTGCTTGGCCCCTTCCCATAAGGCCAGGGGTCCCAGGCGGGACTCATCCAGGAGTCTCCCTGCTCAGGGGCTGGCCCAGCGCTGTGTCCCAAAGCCCCAGAGTCCTTATCGACTCCTGCACTGTGACTCAGGCCAGCGCAGGCCCCGTGAGGGGGTGGGTGTTGTCCTGCCGGCTGGGGGCAGACAGGGTGGCTTCCTGCTTCTGGGGAAAGGAGGTGAGTTCAAGAAGCTCTGGTTGATGAGGGGGACACTCCTGCTCTTTCTCCCCGACCTGACCTGGGGGTGCCGGGCAGAGGCTCTGATACCCAAGGCCCCGTCAGCCCTCAGGGCTGGGAGCAGAGAGCAGCAGCTGAAGGGACAGAGGCGTCCTAGTGCTCTGGAGCAGCCCCGGGTGGCAGAGCCCTAGCCAGCAGCACCGACGGCAGCAGGGCACGGCCTGAGGTTCCACGGAGACCATCCTATGGAAGATTCCCGCTGCCTTGGGAGCTCAGGGCGGGAGAAGCAACCCCATTTTACAGATGAGAAGCCGCTCCACAGAGGTCACCTGGCAGGTACAGGGACAGGAGCCCAGGAAACCACAGGTGTCGAGGAGGACGGTGGCCTTCACTGGGTCATAGTCACAGGGCCACCTGTGATGGCACAGAGGATGAGGAGGTCGGGCCAATTAAAATAAAGAGCTCAGCCAAGATGCCAAGGACAGACAGGGGGCTGGGCCTCGGCAGAAAAGTGTCCCCTAAGGTCAGCAAGCCTCGTTTCCTCACCTAGAAACCTCAGGGGCTTAGTATGTGAATTAAATGAGATAAGACATAAGTGAGGTCCTCAGCATGAGGCCAGCACACAGGAAGCTCTTAAAAAGCACCAGCTACCAGCACGGTCATTTGCTAAAGCCGCCAAAGAACTGACCCTTTTCCCATTTCATACGTCATCCCCAAGGGTGGGTTTTTATAAGTGCACCCCTTTTGCAGATGAGGAAAACTGAGCCTCTGTGAGGGACCTCCAGTCCTCTCTTGGGCGGGGCCAGAGCCTGGCCACCTCTCCTGGGCTGGGCAGGTACCCAGGATAGGACAGCAAGACAGTCCACTCTGTTTGCATTACACAAAGGTTGACCAGCCTCTCCCAGTGTCCTGGGTGTGAGGCCTCCCAGCTCTCAGCCACCCCAGGTCCCAGGCAGCTTGGGGTTCCAGACGACAGCTACGATTCCAGGATCACACAATCTGTCTGGGAATCCCCGCTGCCCTGCAAGGAGCCAGGGGGCTGCCTCGAGGGGAGGCTTGGTCTCCGCCCCATCCGTGCTGGAGCCTGCTGGCCCCTCACAGAGGGACCACAAGCATCTTGTCCTTGAAGTCCATCCCGCCCTGCTCCTGGCTCTCCAGCTGCTCCAGGTGGCTGCTCTTGTGCTCTTTCTCCTCTGGAGTCTTCAGGAACCTGGAATCCAGATCCCAACCACAAATCAGCACCTGCCCCCCACACAGGGGGCTTCCCCTTGTCCCCTGGTCCCCAGGCTGCTCACCTGAACAGCAGCTTCTGCCCCGGCTCCTTCCTGATGATGTTCAGTTTGTAGTAGTGGCGCAGGGCACGGGACATCTTCTCATAGGTCATGTTCACCCGGTTCTGGAAGGTGAAGCAGCCCCAGGTCAGCCCCCGTTCGACAGCCCAGGCCTCCAAACTTCACTCTCCACACGGTGAAGGGAGTAGACGGGGCAGAATGCTTTCCCAAGCCCCTGGGCCCAGGGCTTGGCAGGGTTTAGTGGCACTCTGTTGAGTTTGGAAGGAGACAGGCAGAGGTGGTCAGGGAAGGAAGGAGGGGAGACTATGCAGTGGGAGCGGACCGCAGGTCACTTTTCCAAAGCAAATGTCACAGCAGTAATAAATAACCACACATGCCCTGTGGGAAACAGGGAGAGGCTGTGTGGTGGGACTGCACGGGTGGCTTTGGCGCCAGTGAGTAGCATGACTGTGGCCAGGTCCCCGACTTCCCTCCGAAGGGCAGGCAGTACAGGGTCAGCGCAGGAAGCCTGGCTTTTGGCATCAGTGAGCCCAACTTCACCACTTGGCAGCTGTGTGACTTTGGACACGTTTCTGTATCTCTGAGTCCATTTAAATTGAAATGAAATGAAAGTTTCATTTGTCGTGAGGTTTGTTGTGAGGATTAAGTTAGCTGATTCGTGAAGATCCTCAGCACAGCGCTTGGCATTAGTATGTGCTCACTGAGTGGAGCTGCTGCACTCTGGGCCTCAGTTTCCCTGCCTGGGCGATATGGGGTTGGACCAGATTAAACACCCTCGAACTTTAGTCATTAACATCCTTCCGGCCACCAGCACTGCCAAGAGGCTGCAGAATAGTGCAGGGCAGTTGCTAGCCCAGGCACAGTCCCCACACTGTCCCCTTATTGGGCTAAACTCTTGGCACTTGCTAAACCTCTCTGTGCCTCGGTTTCCACATAACACCTGCCTCACAAGGGCTGCGGTATTAAGTGAGTTAACACAGGGAAAGCCCTCCCAACAGCAGAGGGCAGGCAGGTGCCACTCACTGCATTTTAGGAAATGCTAAAAACTGCTGATTATCATTATTTTTTAAAGTTAACCAAAAACACCTTTATTTTTTCAGTCTTCAAAAAACAAACTACTTTTTTTTTTCCAGGACAAACACGATTAACTTAGAAAACTGGTCATACAATTCATCTTCAAAAGCATTCCCCTTTAATGAGAAAATTAGCTTTAGAGAATCTAAACATTAAAAATTTTTAAAAAAAATCTACTTTGTTGCCATTATTAAACAAAATGGAATCCACCAGAAGTCAAGGGAATTCATTCATATCTCAGGTCCTTCTCCTCCCAGAACCAGCATCGTTATATTGTTTCCATTTAGCAAAATCTGATCTGAGCAGGGCACAGTGACACAGGGCTGTAATCCCAGGGGCTCGGGAGGCTGAGGCAGGAGGATCCCAAGTTCAAAGCCAGCCTCAGCAACTTAGTGAGTCCCTAAGCAACTCAGAGAGACCCTGTCTGTAAATAAAATGTAAAAAAGGGCTGGGGATGTCGCTCAGTGGTTAAGCACCTCTGGGTTCAATCCCTGGTATCAAAAAAAAAAAAAAAACTCATCAAATTTAGTAATCCTTCTTTCTGATGTGATTTCAAAATTCAGTGACATCTCCCAGCACTATATTGACAAAATCATCAAGTCCTAGAAGTGTCCCAACAATTTCTTTATCCCTCTTTGTCACCATGTGAATTCTTGTCCACAAGCTCTCAAAGCACCAGCCGTAACAGGGTGGCAGCAGCAGTGGCCACTGTGGCTGTGCAGAAAGTAGCCAGTTCTCTTCAAAAGACTCTTTTCTTTCCTTAAAGGAACCCGGATATCGGGATGAACCCAGCAGCCCTCACCCACAGAGCCACACGGCGCCTCTTTTCATTTTTTATTCTGAGACAGGGCCTCGCAAAATTGCTGAGGCTGGCCTTGAACTTGTGATCCTCCTGCCTCAGCCTCTGCACTGGGATTCCAGGAGTGCAGCACTATCATTCCTATGTCACCACTGTGACCCTGAGACGGAGATGGCGGTCCCATTTGTTAATACCAACCCAAAAATAAATGTTGAATCCTGAGCACTAGGGTGAACCGCCTGCTATCTTCTCATGGACACCCACTTAGCTCTGGGCGATCCGCCGAATAGGAATGCGCAGGGGCCTCAGCCGCCCCGGGGCCCTTCAGCCCCCAGGAGAGCGAGGGACCTGGGTTTCTTCCCACCCTCCCTCAGATACCCAGCTTCCTCTTCTGGGCTAACCGGCAGGCACCATGCAGTCCACGCCAAGATCTTTGAAAGGCTCATACACCAGGGGTAGAGGCTGGTCTAGCTGGTGAGGCCCTGGGCTCCCTCCCCAGCACTGCCCCCCCAAGGAGGCTTTAGTACTAAGCAAAGGCGATGTCACACCTCAGGGACATCCTCCATCCGTAAGAGGTGACTTTTAACCACTGCACTTCTGGGACCCCAAGGGAAGGGAAGGCTCCATTATCGAGGATGGTCCTCTGGTGCCCCGGGGTCCACTCTGACCCCTCGCTCTGTCCCCTGGGTATGTGGAGACCACCCCGCCCTCTGGTCCAGCTTCACCTTTTGGTTCCCCCAGAGTCTGGCGAGCCCGTTCGGATCCACGACTCGGAAGACCTTGGCGTCCTTGTCCTCCCACCTGACGTAGGGCTCGTACCTGGCGTCCCGGAGCAGCTGGTACACGTAGTCCCACAGCAGGTGGCAGTCTGCAGGTCAGCACAGAGGAGCCATGAGGACCGTGTCCCTGGGGACCTGGAGGCCAGCCCAGGGAGCCCCAGCAGGAGGATGAAGACAGTGGTGTCAACAGGAGCAATGGGGGCTCTTCTGTACCTCAGAACTCTAGGAGGTGGCTCATAACCCCAGGGGACGCGGGAGGGGATGGGCTCAGGGGGCAGGCGGAGCGCCAGGCCAGCCCAGCTCTGCAGACACCGGCCAGCTCCCCTATGCCAGGGTTGGCGGGGCCCACGGGCAAGACCCTGCCCAGGCACTCAGCACCCCGGACCCAGGAAGTGCCCAGAAAATCAGCGCCCAAGGGCACCCTCACAGATCTGAGCCCCAGGGCCCCGGGCCATATCCCTTCAGGAAAGTCACCCGAGGCAGCTTCCCTGTGAGGGTGGTGATGGGTGGTAGGTGGTCAATGTGCCCAAAGCCCTCAGGACAGGTGGTTTATTGGCCTCGAGCCACTTCTGACCCAGAAGCCAGGCTTCCTCCCGTCTCGTGTCTTAGTACTAAGCTGGTGGCCCCACCATGGCTAGGAACATTTTCCGGAAAGATGGGTGGCTTCTCTGTCCCTGTGTCTGGCTGTCCGCCTAGCAATCAATCCCTTAACAATGAAGGCGGACCGTGAAGTGATTCACCAGGTTAAAGGGCAGGCTCTGCAGCTAGACAATCTGGGTTCACATCCCAGCTCCACCATAAGTGCTGTGTAATCCCAGGGAAGTCCTTAACCTCTCTGTGCCTTGGTTTCCTTATCTATGAAACCAGGCTAAAATAGTACCCACATCAAAGAGCTGTTGTACAACTAAATGAAGGCCTTGGAACCAAGCTTGGCACATAGTAAGTGCTCAATAGAGTTTTAAGAGTTATGGAGCAGTGGCGGAGGGGCTAGAGGGGACGGGGGCAGGTACTCTAGCCAACCTGAGTGTCCGACTCTGACTGCCTAAATTGTCCCTGCCCTGGGGACAGGCTGGGCTTGGCAATCCTAAGCAATCCATCTGCTATGGTTCCAACTGTGGCCAACACACAGGACATCACCCCACTTCCCACCCCCGGCCCAGATCCCCTCACCCCTGGTCCCTGTCACCCGTGACCCCTCTGGGACCCAGCCTCAGCACACCTCACGCCCGCCCAGGGAACACAGCCCCCTACTCACCTGCGATCCTGCCATCAATGGGGGCCCGTGGCATCCTGGGGAAGGAGCAGACCCCCCTGGTCCTGCAGCCGGGCTCTGCACAATGAGATAATCTGAGGGGCTGCCTGGCTGGACTGAGAGAACCCAGGTGGCTGAAGGAGCTGGCAAGCCCCAGGGCTGGTGGCTGTGACAGAAGGCACTTGGCGGTGGGTTGGGGGGCTGCCTGAGAGGGCCCGATCCCCTCTGCAAGCAGAGGAGCACACTGATCTTGTGCGCCCAGGGCCTCCCTGCCCAGGGCCTCCCTGCCCAGGCCCTCAGCACGAGCCTGGGACTCCTGTGGCTAAAGCTCTTCCCTGTCCACCTCCTGGTGAGAGAGTGGGGAGGCCATAAAGTGCAGTGGCCGGGGCCAGACAGCCAAGCCAGCCCGTCACTCAGCCTCTGCTCCCTACAAGTCACTCAACCTGTTTCCTCTTTGACGCAAAGTCAAGCTGTGACAGCGCCAGGCCTAGAACCAGGTGCCAGCATCCAGCGTCCTCGCCGTTTGCCCAGGAAATATTAAGAACTGTCTGTGAGCCAGGCATCGCACTCAGAATCTCAGGGACACATCCCTGAATCCAGAAACCTCTCTGCTGATCTGACACTGCTGTCTGACTCCGACTGCCGACATCGTCCTGGCCCTGGAGATAGGCGAAGCAGTACTACCTGCTACTGGGACTCATTATGGGGCTTATTTTTGTGAGGACAGATGATTAAAATGAAAAAGAAGATAAAAGCAGTCCACAAGACGGGGAGAGAAAATAAAGCTTGCAGACAGATGAGGAATCTGGAAGAGGTTCTGCTGCAGGCTGACATTTGACGGAGCCCTGCAGGAGGTAAAGGAGGGAGCAATGCCAGTACTGAGAAGAGAATCCAGGCAGAGGGGACAGCAGGAGCAAAGGCCCTGGGGCACGAGCATAGCTCTGGCTTGTTCAGCACACAAGGAGCCCTTGTGGCCACAGCAGCAGGAACAAGGGGGAGAGGCCTGAAGAAGGAGCAGAGGCCGCTGTAAGGACTGTAGCTTCGACTCCAAGTGAGAAGGGAGCCACTGGAAGATTCTGAGCAGAGGCAAGACACAGCCTGACTCAGCAGTCTCTGGCAGCTCTGTGGGGAACGGATCATTGGAGGTCAAGAGTGGAGGTGAGGAGACCAGCGAGGAGGTTCTCCAGAGGTGATGGGGCGGCACGGGGAGCCAACAGTTGGGTGCAGGAAGTGCATGGATTTGGCAGAGGTTTGAAGGTGGAGCCAACAGGATTTGTTGGCAGGATGAAGACGGAGGAGAAACAGGAATCCAATGTGATGTCTGTTAGGGTTAGGAAATGAGGGTCCCCCCCAAAGCTTCTGTGTTAATGCAGAAACATTCAGAGGTGAAGCAATTGGTTTAGGAGAGCTGTCACCGGACAGCAGATCAATCATTTGATGGTTTAATAATCTGAAAGGACTACAGTATGGCGGGGGGGGGGGGGGGGGGGGGGGGGGGGGGGGGGGGGGGGCAGTCCTGGAGCAGGTGGGTCAACAGGGCCCCCCAGAAGGGTTCACCCGCCCTGTGCCCCTTCCCTCCTTCCTCTCTGCTTCCTGGCTGCAGTGACCTGACAGTTTTCTCCTCAGCCCCCTCTGCCGTGGTGCTTGGGCCCAGAGCCATGAAACCAGCCAACCATGGACAGAAACCTCTGAAACCATGATCTCAAAATAAGTTTTCCTCCTCTAAGCTGTTCTGCTCGGTGTTTTGGTCATAGAGATGAAAACCCAATTAACACGCTGTCCAGTGTTTTGAACTAAGCTTGGCAGGAGGAGCCGGGTTTTGCTGGGAAGGAGCAGTGTGGGGACATGGGGCCCCTGGCTTAGGGGCTGCTGGGGTTGAGATGCCCACTAGACACACTGGAGGGGGGACAGGAAGCGTGGGGGACAGATCAGGGCACGCCTGGGAATCACTGGCAGAACCTAATGTGAATTTCCAAGATCCAAACACCTAATGCCTGAATGTAGACAGAGAAGAGCCCCGTGACCCCGGGTGCCTGACATTTGGAAGTAGGGAAGAAGAGGAGGACCCAGAGAAGGAGATTTTTGAGGAGTGACCACTGGGGCTATAGGAAATCAGGCAAGTGGGACATCCTGGAAGTCAAAGGAAGAGGGTGGCAGGGAGATGACCTCTGGGTCAAAGGCCGCAGAGGCCACAGTAAACAGGACTGAGAGGGTGTGGGCGTCCCACGCTCTGGCGCCTGGCAGGAGCGGTTTCCATGGAGACAGAGGCAGAAGGGGGACCCCGGCCTCATTCAAACGACTGCAGGAGCCAGGCTGGAGGGGGAGAGAGGCCAGCCCCTGCCACCCCTCCCTGGCTTTGCCCTGAGGATGGCCGGTCCCGCCACGAGGCTGACCTGAGCGGGCTCGGAGCTTCAGGAAGGGCCTCCTCACCTTCCGGGGCCTGGGGCAGCCCGGGGCGCGTCCTCTGCCGGCAGGTCCCCGGGAGGAACGGCCTGCACACCAGGGCTCGCCGCTGGGTCTTGATGAACTGGAGCAGCTCATACAGGACGTCACCTGGGGGTGGGCGGGAGGCAGGCTGCTGGCCAGGCCAGTGGGGAGCCCAGTCTTTGTCCCCTGTGGTCACCTGCCTCTCGGGGCGAAGCCCAGGGTGTCCCGTCACCAGCATCCTGCTAAAGGAGGTGGGGGCTCCGGCTGTTGGGGCTGACAAGGGGCACGGCCAATGTCGCCCCCTGGCGGTTACAGCTAAAAAGACATCCCTTCCTGGTAGGGGAAGGGGCTGGGCACCAAGGTCACCAAGGTACCCCCCCCCCAAGGTCAGGCTGAGCACCCCCACATGCCCCCAGTTGAGGGCCTGAGTTCAGTGCACAAACTGCACAACCGTCTCTCACACCCCTGGAGGCAGAGGCAGTTCTTCTAAGGCTCAGGATGATAGATAACAGGCAGACGTGAGTGGCGGGAACATGAGGTCAAGGGAGTAATTCTACACACTGGGCCCACTGCCCTGACCGGACCCCACATACTTGCTTCTTTTTTTCTTCCCTTTTTTTTTTTTTTTTTTTGTTGTGGTACCAGGGGTACTTTACCACTTAGCCACATCCCTTTTAGTTGGTGGTGTTGTTTGGAAACAGGGTCTCACTAAGTTTCTGAGGCTGGCCTTGAACTTGCAATCCTCCTGCCTCAGCTAATCAGAACACAAGGGCTGGGGTTGTGGCTCAGTGGTAGAGCATTTGCTTGGCGTGTGTGAGGCACTGGGTTCAATCCTCCGCACTACATAAACATGAATAAATAAATAAAGGCATTGTGTCCACCTATGAATAAAAATATTTTAAAATATAAAAAGAAGAGCTGGGGTTGTGGCTCAGTGGTAGAGTGCTTGCCTAGCATGTGTGAGGCTCTGGGTTCAATTCTCAGCACCGCATATAAAGGTCTATTGGTAACTAAAAAAAATATATTTAAAAAATAAAATAAAAAGAACTTCACCAGGCACAGTGGGCACTTGGATATTTAACACAATCCTGCTGTCAGTCAAAAGTCAAGAGGTGAACTTGGGCAGGACTCTGGAAACTTCCCTGGGACCCTCCAATAAAACTTCTCTCTGAGAGGACCCACTCTCCATTAAGTATGACTCCCGTTCCCTTTTTCCTATCCCTTCTAAACTTTGTTACTTTTTTTTTTTTTAACTAAATTTTGTGTCTTCCTGAAATCCTCTCAAAAAAGAACAAAATAACCAAGGGTAGGGATCTCAGCCCCCTGCTGGTCTCCTCTGCATAATGGGATTCCACAAATTTCATTTCACGGCTGCCCCTGTAGGGTGCACTGGTGCACACCTGTAATCCCAGTAGCTCCAGAGACCAAGGCAGGAGGATTGCAAGTTCAAAGCCAGCCTCAGCAACAGCCAGGCCCTAAGCAACTCGAAACTCAGTGAGACTCTGTCTCTAAATAAAATACAAAATAGAGCTGGGGATGTGGCTCAGTGGTAGAGTGCCCCTGGTATCTTCTCCCCCCAAAAGGCTGGCCTGTCTTCTGAGGGACTGAATAGTCTTAACCTCTTCCTAAAGGCAGGTGGGCCCTGTCCATAGTCCCAGAAATGCCTCTTGACTCACACCTTTGGGCTAAGTTGCTGATGGTAAGCAAGAAAAAGGGAAGAGGAAAGTTGGGGGATCCCTGGGTGGAGAAACACCTGACAGCCATGGGGTAAGAGGTACACAATGGGCTCCTGAGGACCAGGGTTGCTTGCAGGAAGTGAGAGAGAATCACAGGCATGATAGGGAGCAGGCCTGTGCTCACCTCAGCCCAGCCCTGCCTCTGCCCAGACAGTCTCCGCTGTGGGAGAAGCCAGAGTCTGGATCTCCTCCCACCACCCACCAGCCCCATTAAAACCAGGGAATTTCTAGCTGGAAGCAGTGGAGCACACCTGTAATCCCAGTGACTGAGGCAAGAGGATTGCAATTTTAAGGCCAGCCTCAGCAACTTAGGGAGACCCTGTCTCAAATAAAAAGTAAATAAATTTTTAAAAAAGGCTGGGGATATAGCCCAGTTAAAACACCCCAGGCCCAATACTCAGTACTAATAAATAAATAAATAAAATCCAGGGAATCATTGAGAATAATTAACTGCATATTTCATAATTGCCAGAAGAGGGGACTCCTGAATTTTCCCAACATAAAGAAATGATAACAGTTTGAAGTGCTGGATAGGCCCATTACTGTGACAGCACATTGTATACATGTGTTGGAATGTCACACTGCTGCCCATAAATAAGCACTAATACAGTGTGTTAATTTTTTTTTAAATGGGTTTTTTTTTGGGAGGGTGTTGTTGTTGTTTGCTTGTTTGTTTAATTTAAATCCAGGCACAGCCACTCAAGAAGGCTCATGAGGGGAAAAAGTGTGACAGAACCTGAGAGGTGGCAGTGCGGTGGGGTGTGTTAGAAGAAAAGAAGTAAATTAGAATAGTTGAGAAAACCCCTTCTGCCACTCAGGCTTTGGTCTTGCTTGCCAAAAACAGGCTGCAGAGAAAGCAAGAGTGTCTTCTTAAGAAGACACCAGATCAGCACCAACATGAAGAGCCACCAGCGAGAAGGCCAAGGGAGGGTCAGACGGACTCCAGAGGCTCTGCTGCTGCCACCACCAGATTCTGCTCCTGAAACATGGTTCCTTTGACCTCAGGCCGGGTTCTGGCTAAAATAAAAACTCATACAGGGGGCCAGGCTTGAGCTCTAATCAGTGTGAATCAATGAATTCTGGAACTTTCTCCAGTTTTGCTCTTGGCTGGGAGGGAGCGCCTTCCCGAGAAGGCTCCCTGCAGGACCCCAGGGGCTTGGGGCCTCCCGGGCCTTCCAGGGTTCCCACCAACTCACTGAAGAGTGGAGCCCGGAGCTTCCCTCACCTGAACCCGGAGCGCGGCGGCGGAAGTCGTCCTTGGTGAGGATGCAGAGCGCGCGGCCGTTCAGCTGGAAGCCGCGCTCCGGGGTGCGCGGGAGCGAGTACTCCTGCTCGGCCCAGCGCAGCCAGTGCAGCACGTCCTCCCTGCTCCACAGCGCCGGCTGGAGGCCTGGGCGGCAAGCACAGGCTGGGGCGGGGCAGAGGCTGGCACCTACGCCCCATCCGTCTGTCCAACCATCATCCATCTGTCCATCCATCCATCCATCTGTCCATCCATCCATCTGTTCGTCCATCCATCCATCCATCCATCCATCCATCCAGCTGTCCATCCATCCATCCAGCCGTCCGTCCATCCATCCATCCATCCATCCATCCATCCATCCTTCCATCCATCCATCGTTTCTCCTGCTCCAGGAAGTCAGGGCTTCCAGTCCTCTGAGAAGCCCACCCTGAACACTCTCTCTAAGTGGGTCCCTTCCCCAAACCCCATCACCTCCTCTCACTGTCCATTCTTTTCTGTCGCATCACCTTGCTTTTACATTTGCCATAATTATGTGCTAGCTTTTATCACTCTATATGTATTACGGATGCATCTGCTTATTTATTGTTGGTACCCCACCCCCTGACTGTTTTCCAATTATTCCTTCAACAAATGTTTAATGGGGATCTGCTATGGCACTGGACTGGGTACTCAGAGGCACATTGTCTGTGTATTCTGCACCCGGAACACACACATGTATGTGTATATATGGCCCCCTACCTCGACCATTTACAAAATCAACTCCAAGTGGGATGGGTTCCCAAAAAATAGAACAATAGAAATCTTAAAATAGAAACAGAAAATTATATGCACTGAAGGAGTAGGGAAGACCTTAACCATGACAGGAAACACAGAGGCTACCAAAATGAAACACATTTGACTATAATTGTGGGAGGGGGGGGCAAAACACCACAAATGAAACTAAAAGAGGGTAGATTTGGGGGAAATATTTACATCACAGATGACAGATAAAGGACCAGTGCCCATCAAAGGTCAAGACAAGAAAAAAAAGTTTTATCAGTAATTCACTGAATCCAGCAATTCAGTGTGGTCTAATTTCTCACCTCGGGTCCTATTAGCATGGTGGGCCCCATCTCTTTGCTGTGGTGGCTGTCCTGTGCATTGAAGGGGTTTTAGTAGTATCCCTCCCCTCTGCCCACTCGATGGCTCTCTGCCCACTCAGTGGAGGCCCAGGTAGAACAACAAAAAATGTCTCCAGACATGGCCAAGTGTCCCTCAAGAAGAAAGGCAGACAAGATTTGCTGCCTAGCAGCTTGGCAGGAAAACATCCCAACTGGATGGTTATTCTCCAGCTGAGGGATATTTGGAAAGTTTCCGTTTATTTTCTATTGGTGGGGACGGAGCTCAGTAGAGGAGTGTTTGCTAGCAGCATGAGGCCCTCACTCAATCCCCAGTGCCAGGGGCTGGGGCTGGGGCTCAGTGGTGGAGCGCTTGCCTGGCACATATGGGGCACTGGGTTGGACCCTCAGCACAACACAAAATTAAATAAATAAATAAATAAGCAAACAAATAAATAAATAAAGGTATGGTGTCCATCTACAACTAAAAATAAATAAATAAAAATTCCCCAGTGTCGCACACACAAAGAACAGGCCATGTTAGCCAGGCGGGTGGTACATGCCTGTAGTCCCAGCTACTCTGGGATCTGAGCCCATGAGTCTGAGACCAGCCTGGGCAACACAGCCAGGCCCTGTCCCAAAACAAAGAAACAAACAAAACAGAATAGGCAATACCAATCTGGGGAGAGAAATCAGAAGAGTTGTCATCCTTTGAATGGGAACGGGAGGCACGAGGAAACCTCCTGGGGTACTGGAAATGTCCTAGACCCTGATCTCAGGGGTGGCTACACGGCTGTCTATGCACATAAAATTCACGGAGCTGCACCCTGAAATACACTTGACTGAGAGTTGGACCGCAAAAAAAAAAAAAATTATGAAAAGTAAAAACACACAATGAATAGTACTGATGATGGTGTCAGGCCAGCTGTGACCAAAGTGACTACCTCTGTTTCCTCATCTGCAAACCCGGAATGATGACAAAATCCACACCAGCCACACAGGACTGTGCCAGGGAGGCTGTGAGGTCACCAATTTAAAGAGCCGTGCCTGGCAAAGCCACAGGCTTGTTCTGAGACAAGGCTTGGTACGGCTGTCAGATGGGGTGATACTTGTGAAATACCTGGCACAGCAGCCAGCACACAGGGCTCAGCCAGGCTACCAATGTGGCATAAGGAGTCCACTCCCTCCAAGAAGTCTCCCTGACCTAGTTTCTGGATGAGCGTCTCTGGATTCTCCTTACCAGTCCAACCAGGTTGACTCTCCAGGTTTCACCTGCCCACAACCACGGCCTCTCCCTTTCTCTGCAATAATCCAATGTATTTTCAGTTTTATCTTATTAACTGTGTCTGTCTCTCGAGATTCCAGTCAGATATCGCCTTACTCTCCCCCTGGTGGGTCACTCACTGGGGATTTCCAGCTTGGTTGGCTCCCAGCTCCCAGGACAGATCTGGGCAGTGGTCCCAGCTGGGGCAAGCTGCCTGCCTGATCTTTCCAGTTTATGCAGTGAAGCATGGGCTCCATCCCAGGCACTGAGTTTGGGAAGGGGAAAGCTCTTCATTCTCCAGTCCTTAATTTGTAGAATTTCCCATCTACTGCTAGCCATCTTCCTTCTCATCATCAGGGGGTGACGTCACTGTCAAAACTCTCCCTTCTGGGCTGGGGTTGTCGCTCTGTGGTAGAGCGCATGCTCAGCCTGCCTGAGGACCTAGTTTCCATGCCCAGCACCCCGCCAAACAAAAGTATTTATCTTGTCCCATTGAATTGATTGAACTTCCTTAGTAAACCCTGACCAGCATTTTGAAAATAAATAAATGGGGTCCTCAAACCAGCAGCATCAGCAGCATCAGGAGCTTGTTAGATGCAGAATCTCAAGTTCCACCCCAGACCTACTGAGTCGGAATCTGTATCTCAACAAGGTTCCCAGAAGATCCACATGCACACTGGAATCTGAGAAGCCCTGGTCTACAATACCAGGAAGCCACGCTTGTTAGAATGTACCTATTAAACTAAATGCCACAGGGAAACAACCAGAGAAGGACGTGGAGAGGTGCCACCCCTGCCCCTGTGAGATAGAGGAGGGGGCCCTGTAGGTCTCTTCCCATGGCTTATTCACAACGAGGAGTTTTAAAAGTCAATTCCAAAATGCAAAGCTGTCCCCATTCCTTGGCACCCAAGTAGGATATTCGCAGAGCTTCTTTAGGGAGCCAGCTGTGGGGAACCAAAGAGGCTCAGGAGCAGGAGCAGGCACGAAGACCCCCAGGGCGACCACCTGTGTCACAGCTGACTCTGTGGCCCTCACTGAGCCTCCCCGCCACCTGGCCTCTTTCATTGCCACTTCTACCCTGGGGAAGTTGGGCCACACCCTGCCAGAGCTCCATGGGCCCCACTCTTGCATCCCGGCCCACCTCCTGTCCTTTGCCCCTGTCTAGACAGCGCAGTTGTCCTTGGAGTGAAACTGCCACTGCTCTCCTGCACATCGTTATCTGGCAGGCAAATCAACACAGAAGAGCAACACACAGGAAAGAAGATGCTCTTCATCACACGCCACCTCACAAGCCGAACACAAGCCGAAGCAAGATCTATTTAGTTTATTCACCTTCCTGCTGCGTCACATCAGCCCTGGAATCTAGAGGTGGAAAATGGAATGGAGTGGGCGACTGGGAAAAAATATGTCAGAGAGACGCCCTGAGAGGGCAATCGGTTTCTAGAGACGAGGGGCTCAAGAGGTTGCTATCACCCCAGGCACCTGCAAATCCGACCTTCAACTGGTGTCAGCAGTTTGCTTATTTAGAATGTTGTTGGCAGGAAAATGAGTCATTTAGTGTCCCCTAGTTACCAAGGTCCAGAACTGGGTGGGGCGGGAGGGTCTGAATATCCTCAGAAGTCTCCATGGTAGGAATCATGGACTCTGTGGTGACGGGGGAGTGGACGCTGCCCACAGCACTTGGCCTCAAGGCTCCACTCTCAAGGCGGCCACCCCACTCCCCCAGGAGCTTTTGGTGACTGCAGGAGCCCCCCTCGGCTGGTGCATGGGGTGAGGTGGACATGCTGGAGTCAGGACCCCTGGAGACAGCCCTTGCTCCATCATGGATGGGCAGTGAAGGGGTAAAGCCCCAGCTGCCTTACTCCCCAGGTGGGAAAACTCAGGGTATGCCCCTCCCTGTTCCCAGAGATGCCCACTGGGATCGAGCACATGCTGTCCACAGTCTTAAATGGCCTGAGGAAACTTTCTGAATTTCCTTCTCTACTCTCTCTCCCCCAGTCCTAGCCACTATTTCGGGGTGGGCTCCTGAGGAGGCCTGACCTAGTTAGCAGGACAAGTGCCTCAGGAGCCCTGATCTAGGGGACAACAGGCCACAGTGACCTCACCCTGAGTGGTACAACCAGAGCACAGGCTGATCCAAGAGGGGTGGGTGTGCCTGTCACTTGAAGTACGCAGGAGACCTGGGGATCCAGAGGGCCCCACTAAAGGGGTTCTGCCTTGGTTGGTTTTGGTGCCCTTGGTGAAGACTCCTTGTCACTCATTCGTTCATTCAACAAACAAATAGTGAGTTTCTGAGCTTATAAATTAAATGTGGTCTTATGGAACTTAAGATCCTCCCCTTTCCCGTGTTCCAGGGAGAGTCGTGGATCTTGAGTTTTTTATTTTTTTTAAGTTTTTGTTTGGTTTGTTTTTCGAAGGTCTTGAGTTTGAACGAAGTGTTTTTTTATTTATTTATTTATTTTATTTATTTATTTTTAAATATTTATTTTTTAGTTTTCGGTGGACACAACATCTTTGTTTGTATGTGGTGCTGAGGATCGAACCCGGGCCGCCCGCATGCCAGGCGAGCGCGCTACTGCTTGAGCCACATCCCCAGCCCCAGGAAGTGTTTTTTAGAGGTCGAGTTAAAAGAGTTAAAATTTCCGTCCTTATGTCTTTAGTTAATAGATATGTAGGTGTGTCTTAAAATCAGATCAAATTGTTCCTTTTTTTTTTTTTAACCCACTTTTGGAGAAAACAAGAACTCCAGAAGTCTTTTCTTGAAGCATGCAAAGAGTCATTAATCACAGGGTGGGGGTGCCTGGTAGTCTTGAGCTACTCCTCCCAATTCCTACCACCACCACCGCCCCCCCCGCCCCAGCTCTGGCTCTGCCCCAGCTTTCAGGCTCCCTCACCCCCAGCCTCGCCCTTCCCTACATCCCCAATGAACCTGTGAACATCAAAAAACTAGAAGGTGGTGTATTTGTACTGATCCAGGCGGTGACTAAACTCTGAATTCTCACTTCTCCTTCTGTTCCCCTCACCCAGCAGGCAGGGCCCTGAAGGTAGAAAGTGACCTTGACACAGCCTCCGGGCCTGGGTTTCCTTGTTTGGGAAGTTCAGGGAGTTTCCAGGGGCCACGTCAAAGCTCTTTCCCAGGGTCAACCTTCTAGGACTTGGCGAGTGGGACAAAACAAGCAACAGAGGGTCCTGGTGGAGCTCCCCCGCCTGCCACCCTGCTCTGCAGCACCTCCTGGCTAGACTCCCTCCAGCACCTACTCAGGGAGAGTGTACCTGTCAGTCCCACCTTCCCTCTAACCTCGGAGACACGGTTATCTTCCCAATTAAAGGTCAGGAAGTGGACCACAGAGGTGTGAAGTCACCTCATCCTCTGTTAAGCCACAGCTTAGTCCTGTCATAGCTCAAAACGTAGGTGGCAGCCAGGAAACCTGTCAGGCAGTGTTCCAGGGAGCAGGGAGCAAAGTGGTCTAGGTGCTTCACAACCAACACGCCTGCGCATAGATGCCGCGGACTCCCATCCCGATCAAAGACCCTGGCTGGGGTCAGCCAGCTGCGGAGCCTAGGATTGCCATGGTTTAGGAAGTACATTTTTAAATATCTTAATCTGGGTATGGAGGCATGCACCTAACGTCCCAGCTCCTCAGGAGCCTGAGGCAGGAGGATGACAAGTTTGAGGCCAGCCTGAGCAACAAGACCCAGTCTCAAAATAAAAATAAAAAATTAAAGAACTGGAAATATAGTTTAGTGGTAATGTGTCCCCGAGTTCAGTCTCCAGTTCCGCAAATAAACTAAGCTAAAATAAAATAAAATAAAAACTAAAAACCAAGCAAAAGTATTCTAGAAGATGACCAGCAGGACCAAAATTTGGCCTTAGAATCTACCAAGAGCCTGTGTGAGGGCTGGGGCTGGGGCTCAGGGGCAGAGCGCTCACCTAGCATGTGTGAGGCACTGGGTTCCTTTCTCAGCACCACATAAAAATAAATAAATAAAGTAAAGGCATCGTGTTCATCTATAACTAAAAATTTTAGAAAAGAGCCCGTGTGATCTTGAACATGTCACTTAGCTTTTTTTGCCTCTCATTTGAAATACAGACTCAAATACATTAATTTCCAGCCTGCTCCACTGCTATGCGTATCCTGGGGTAAGAACATTACTTAGGAAAAGGAAATGAAAGGAGACTACTAATGTTTCCCATGGTTACTGTAGGTGCATTTGACTGTTCTCTAGTATTTTCTTACTCTTCTCTGGCATTGCCTAATTTTTGACAATAAGCACATGCTACTTTTATAATAATAAAAATGATACATTGTTGCTTAAAAGAAGGTTTTATGTGCATGCCACTGTTCACTGTTTAGCTCCACCCACTTCCTCTCTGCCAATGTCTCCAATCCTGTCTCTAACCTGGAAAGGACCCAAAGGCTCATTAAGCGCCAGCCCTCATCTTACCACTGAGGACTGCCTGCCGGTCAATGCCAGCTGTACACCTTCTCTGACTTCCTCACCAAGGAAGAGCTAAAACCCAGCCAAAGAACTGGAAACGGAGGAAAGGTAACTCCTTGAATAAGCAGTGACATTTAAGACTTTAACAAAAAATGAGCTTTTCTCCTCCCCTCTACTCACGGAGTCTTCCTGGAAGCTTGCAGATTCCAGTCTCACCCAGAAGTTGCACTTGAGCTTCACATCTAGCTTGGACCTGGGTGCCTAAGGGGTGTGTGGCCGCTGCAGGACCTACAGGAGAATAGGCCAGTGTTCCTTCCTAGAGCAGGAGAAAACCAGAGCCGTCAAAGGAGGCTTAGCCATACTTGAATGTATTGAGAATTATTTTTGGAGAGAAAGAGTGTTTATCTCTGCCAATAGATTGTGTCCACCTTAAAGGTACCATCAACATCTTGTTCACAGCAGACACTGGATAAATTTCATCCTTCCAAGTCAAGTTTTCAACTCCCTGAAAAAGATTCCCTAGCACAATTTGACTTGTAACTGAAATCTGAAGGCCTAGAAATACTCTCTGGATTCTTAGTGAGATCACAACATGGAGACCAAGGGACCAGGATGAAAAGACCTTAACTCAGAAGTAAATAAACACTTTTTCAAAAAGGAAAAAGGAAAAAAAAAAAAAAGAATAAGTTTCTGACCCCGAGGTCTCACAAAGGGAAGACTTTTTTTTATTATTTAATTTTCTTTTTTTTAGCTGGAGCTGAAGATGGAACCCAGGGCTTCACACATGCTAGGCAAGCTCTCTACCACTGAGCCACAGCCACAGCCCTAAGGGAAGTCTTTATCCTAACAGTTTTACAGCCAGGATAGCCCTGGTGTGAGTTGGTTCATCCAGAAGGATGAGAGAAGAAACAAGTGGCCAGATGTGGTATTTGCAGAAGGATCCCTGGGGCTGCAGCCCAGCCACAACTGCCTCAGTCAGAAAAGGAAAAGTGAAACTAGGTCCTGAGAGTCCATTTCACTCTAGGATCTTCTAGAGTTTTATACCTATTGGTCTGAGGAAGGTAATCCGCGCCTAAGGAGTGCAGATCTGGAGCCAGCAGAGCAAACTCCACAAGCCTTGGCTCATGCAAAAGGGGATTTGACGTCTTTTGGATAGTTCCCATTTCGTTTCTGGAGGAGAAGGGCACCACCTGTCCCAGTTGGTGCTGTTTCCTAGATATCCAAGCCTCAGAAACTGAGAGGAAGCAGACTCAGGTGCCACAGCCTATAATCCCAGTGACTGGGGAGGCTGAGGCAGAAGGATCAAAAATTTGAGACCAACCTCAACAACTTAGGGAAACCCAGAGGACTTCTCAAAATAAAATATAAAAAGGGGGCTGGTGGGAGCTGGGGCTGTAGCTAGGCGGCAGAGCGCTTGCCTAACATGCCTAAGGCACTGGGTTTGATCCTCAGCACCATATAAAAATAAAAATAAATAAAATTAAGGCATTCTGTCCATCTACAACTACAAAAAAAAAAATTTTTTTAAGGGGGAAGTGGGCTGGGATATGGCTTAGAGGTTATGGGAACTTGGGTCCAATCCTTGGTACCAAAAAAGAAAAAAGAAAAAAAACTGAGGGGCTGTGTGCTCCCTTGCTAGAGAAGGGGCTCAAGACAAGGACTTGTCCACTCCTCCACCCCACTGCAAACAAGAGGAGTAGGCAATCCTGAGGCTGTAACTGTCTGGGAGATGCAGCCACGGAGTCTACAGGGTGGAGACCCCCAGGTTTCTGCATGAAGGCCTGGGAGAGAGCTGATAAGTGGGCGTGGCTCTTGGAGAGAGGGAAGTGGAGAAAGGCCCTGGGGTAGGATGGGCCCCAGCTCTAAGGGAAGAAAATGGAGAGGGACTGCTGAGGAAAGGGGTCCCAGTGGGATTATGTTTGACAGCTGGGAGGACCTGACTTGTGGAGGAATTTCCAGGGACTTCCCATCGGGTTAGTGTAGCAGAATGAGGAGGGAAGGAGACTTCGGAAAGGATCTGGGGGCTTGGGGATGCTGTGTGGGATGCCTTCGTACCGCACCGGGATTTCGGGGGTGGGGGGAGAGAGAGAGAGAGGCGGGACCTCGGGACCGTCGTGAGGAGCGTCTAGGGGTGGAGCAGAGGGACAGGGTTGGTGGTGAGGGTTAGGAATCTGATGGAAAGTGAGACTCCGGGCAGTTAAAGGTCTAATAAAATGGAAATCGAGATGGGAGCGGGCAGGTGGATCCGTGTGCGCGGCCGGCTCCTCTGCCGGGCTCTTACCTGCATCCCAGGTGGAGGTGAGGGGCCACCGGCTTTCTGTCGCGAGCGCTCCCGGCTGGCGCTGCTGGGCACTGGGCGGTGCTCCTTGCCCCTCTCCCCGAGGCCCCTCGCTGGGCGCTGAGAACTGAAAGGTCGCCTGGGGCGAAATCTGGCGAGAAGCGCCGGGGCGTGAACCCTGGGCCCCGCGAGCAGGCGCGCGAGGCGCTGGGGTAGGCGCTATCCTTCCGGGAAACGAAAACGAAAGAGCGGGATCCGGCTCCACTCCCGCCGCCCAGGGCTGGGGGAGGGCCGGGGCCCCGCGGGAGCCGAGCCGGGGGCGCGGGCCGCGCGCCGGCTGCCGGAGACGTCGCTCCTGCTGGCACCTCCTGTCACAGGCGCGGACAGGCCCTCCTGCGCTCTGGCCCTGATTCCCTGGGGGTCGGCCGTGGGGTTCTGCAGGATGTGAAGAACCGGGGACACCGGGTCCCGAGACGTCGACGGAACAAAGCATGGGAAGGGGCCACCCATCGGGTCTTCCTAGAACAGCTGCCTCTCTCTTTAGGAGTGGAGTGACCTTCCCGCCCCCACCTGGTCTGGGCCTGCCTTTTGGCCCCAGGAAGCCAAAAGCTCGCGACCGCAGAGGCACCAAGGCCCTATACTCAGATGCCCCCAAGACACCTTTTCCCTGACTCTGGCTGCTGCAGGTGTGTCGCCCGCCCAGCCATCAGCGCGTCCTCTTGCCTCGGCTCCCCCTGCCTGGATGGGGAAGCTCAGGGAGACTGAGCCAAAGAAACGGAGGGAAAAGCCTTAATAACCCTTGTAGAAAATCAGAGCGCAGATGCTGTTATAAAGAAGGCGGAACATTGGTATATCATAAACTCAAGGCCAACGACCCATCAGAGAAACTAGCCAAGGACAAGAACAGACGGCCCAAGTAAAACCAAAGGCCAGATGGCCCCTGCATATAGAAAAAGATGCTCAGGCTCATTGTTAAAGATGTGCAGTTTGAGCCGGGGGCATGAAGCCCCTGCACCGAAAATCCCATCGATTCCAGGCAGGAATATCTCAAGTTTGAGGCCAGCCTCAGCAATTTACCTAGACCCTGCTTCAAAAAAGGGGAGGAGGGACTGAGGATGTAGCTCAATGGTAGAGCACCCCTGGGTTCAATCCCCAGTACTGGTTTAAAAAAAAAAAAAAAAAAGATGTGCAAATTAGAGTTGAGGAGGTAGCTCAGTGGTAGAGTGCTTGCCTAGCATATGGGAGGCCCTGCATTCCATTCCCAGCACTGGAAATATCCCTTAATATAATAAAAATTCAAAAATTGAATAATATAATCTGCTGAAGAGGGTGAAGGGAAGGTATTTCCATAGGGCGTGCAGTGGTGCAACCCTGGTGGTGGGCAGTGTGGCGGATCCTGCAGTTATAAATGCATTTGCCCTTGGCTCAGCAATGCCAGCAACAACTGCATCTGCATGTATCCAAGACACACATGGTTACTTATCTCATCAGGGTTTATAGTTTTAGATGATTAGAAATAGCTCCGGTGTCCATAGGGGTCAACAGAATAGCTATGGTACATCCGTCTAACAGAATACTGTCCAGCATCTGATGAAGCTCTCTGAGGACAGAGCAAGCCCTTCAAGAGACAGCAGAGCATGGCAATTAAGAACTGGGACTCAGGAGACCAGACCTGGCAGCTGCTGCACTGACATAGACCCCCTGGGACTGCAGCTGGCACAGGGACAGCAACAATGACACTGAAGATGTTTCATTGTTTGACCCAGAAAAAGAGACAATAGACCAAGAAAATCCAAAATCAGGCATCCACTGGCATCATTTTTCCATTTGTTCTATCCATTTCCATTTGTTCTATGGGTGCCATTATAGCCTATGTTCTCTATGAATTGCTCAGCATCGGCTTCATTGCCTGTCTGATGAGAATTATCTTGTTGCTGCTATGTGAATTTGGGGTAGTGAAGAATGTCGCAGCTAGACTAATGGTTGGCCTCCTGTGGTGGAATCACATGGATGAGGATGGAAAGAGTCATTGAGTGTGTGAGTTCAGGAAGGCAACTCCTCTGGAGTATAAAACTGTCTCAGAGGCTGAATCAAGAGTGTCTTGTTTGGAACTGATTGCCGGTACATCGCTGTGGTTGATATTTGCCCTTAGTGCTCTCTTCAGTGGTTGGCTGTGGTTATGGTGGGTGTGGTGCTACAAAGTGCCATTTTGTAACTGTATGGTTACAAAATGGGCAGCAGGAAGAACTTAACCAGCATAGCTATGTTGTACTCGAAAAGTGTCATTGGAGATGATCAGATTTCTTAAATAGAGAGCAAGCTTATGCATTCTGTGACATTGGGGAACAACCAAAGAGATTCTTACTTACTTTAGAACTGTTTGGAATCAGTCCATTGCAAAGAGGAATATCAGTTTTATTTTTTTCACTTAAAAACTTTGTTCAAGGGGCTGGGGCTATAGCTCAGTGGTAGAGTGCCTGCCTCACATGTGAGGCACTGGGTTCGATCCTCAGCACCACATAAAAATAAATAAATAAAAATATTGTGTCCATCTACAACTAAAAAATATATATTTTAAAAAACTTTGTTCAATAAAAGAAAAAAGCTGTGCAAGGTGGCGCGTGCCTGTAATCCCGTGACCTGGGAAAGTGAGACAGAAGAATCACAAGTTTGAGGCCAGACTTAGCAAAGTGCCCTGTTTCAAAATTTAAAAAAATAAAAATAAAAATGTCGGGGGATGTAGCTCAGTGATAAAGTGCCCCTGGGTTCAATCCCCAGCAAGAAAGAAAAAGAAAAGTTTTCCTACTAAGTTTTTTATTTACTTTCTCTAACAGAGTTAGGAAATTTGGGTCATAGGAACATTGTCGGAATTTATTTTATGGTGTACATATCTACTTACAGTATGCATATATGCATATAGTAATGTCTCATTATATTCCGAATTAATATATTCATTTATATATGTTTCAGAGATCTTTGCATTTTGACCCATAGAACCTGGGAGGATGTTCTTAATCTATCTCAAAGTTCTATGTGTTTACATGCTATTTCTGTAGGTTATGTTCAGAAATAGGTTTTGATTCCATTGTAAGAGTGAACACTTAGTTTGTGTATGAGTTGGAAAACTGTTAATTTCTCATATATACTGTATGTTGAAATTGCTTACTTTAGACATGCACAAGTAAAAACCAAATTCAGGCCAGTCCTATTGACTAGTTTCTAAAATGTTGTGTTTATTTTTATACTGCAACAAGTCATTTACTTAAGGCCCAATTAAACATAAACTTTAGAGTTTCTGTTTGAGAGATACCCAGGGATTGCTGCTACTCTATTCATCACATGGAAAGGATAGCCAGATTTTACTTTGGAACTTCTTGGAAACTCTTCAATGGTCTTTGGGCTAATAAGATCTTATCTTTTATTACTAAATGAGTATTATCCGTATGTCATAATAATAATCGTTTAATACTTGGCATAATAAATGCCTAAAAGGCATTTTATTTTATGAATTTTTTCTTGCTATAATGGGGATACTGTAAATCATACATTTATGTTATTTTTATGGGAGAGGTGGGTACAGGAGATTGAACCTAGGGCATTAACCACTGAGTCACATCCCCAGTCCATTTTCTTACTGTTTTTTATTTAGAGACGGAGTCTCACTGAGTTTCTTAGTGCCTCGCTAAGTTGCTGAGGCTGGACATGAACTTTTGATCCTCCTGCCTCAGCCTCCCACACCGCTGGGATTATAGGCATGCACCACCTTGCCTGGCTTAATGTTATTTCTTTAAACAAGGTAATATATGTAACTGTAAACTAAATCAATCTACAAAATGTTGTAGGCATCTGTAAATTCTGTTGTAGTTTCTATAAACTTCATTGGAGTCTTTTAATCAGATTATGTTGTGAATATATTTATACACTGTTAAAATATTTTTAAAGGTGTTTAGTTGAATAAATATCTTTGTTGGAGTGATAGCTTGGAAGGTGCACAATTTCACATTTGTATAAAACTCTATTGTCTACAAAACAAACAAACAAACATAACTGGACTCAGGACAGCCTGCCTGGCTTGGGATTCCAGCCCCATCACTTACTGGCTCTGGGCCCTTGAGCAAGTTAGTTAAACTCTTTACTGCCTCTCTACTAAATGCCCCCTTAACAGTAAGAGAACTAATAACGATACCTATCTCATAAGGTTATTGTGCAGAGTAAATGAGTTAACATTTGCAAAACACCTGGGAAAGTGTCTGACCACCACGTTAAACAGAAATTCTAGATACAGACTGATGTGTCTTACATGCCACTGTGTGTGTGCGTGCGCGCGCGCGCGCATGGGTCTTGGCCTTCCATATCCAACATCCTCAGATCCAACTAACTTGGAATCAAAAATATTTGGAAAAAAAGTTACTTCTGTACTGAACACGTACTGACTTTTTTCTTGTCATTATTCCCTAAACAATATAGTATAACAACCATTTACGTAGCAGTGACATTGTATGAGGTATTGTAAGCAACCTGAGGATGATATAAAGTATACAGGGAAATGTATGTCAATTATATGTAAATACTACACCGTTTTATGGGAGATAAGCATCCATGGATTCTGGTATCCATGGGGTTTCCTGGAACCAATTCCTCTTAGATCCTGGGAGATGACTAATACATGTATTTACAATTTGTACAGAGAAACTCTCAAGGGATACATAACAAACGTATTTGGAATTCAGGGTAGAAAATAAATGCAAGAGATTTCACCATAACCTTTTACATTGTTTTGATTTTTTTCACCACATGAATAAATGACTATTCAGAAGAAAAAAAATGAAAAGGAAGTTGCAGGGTCTCTTCCATGTCAGGCAGCCATAACATGGCTGGTGGAAATAAAGGAGCATCGCCTGAGACAGACTAAAACCTGTGACATTTCCCTTTAATAGGACAACGCAATGCTAGAAATACACAAGGTGGGTACAACTACGAGGCACCAGGAGCAGGAATGAGGAGACTCCCTCCTTCACCAGGAAACATGCACAAGTGTCTCATGGCCAATAAAATAACAATATTTATTTCATTTTAAAGTTATTTTTTAAATAACATCTTTCCTATGAAGAACTCAAGATACATCTGTAAAACTTCAAATTTATAACAAACTCTGTGAATACTTGTAATTTATAAACAGGGCTAGATGAGGCAGATAAGAAGGCAAGAGGGGAACAGGGAAGGGGAAAGGCCCAAGAGAATGAGCTGGCAGAGGGCCTGTCCACCAGTCACAGAGAAACACTCAGCAGGGAACAGCAGGCCCAGGTTACTGCCTGGTGGTGAATTCATAACTCCCGTCTTGACCCTGGGACTGCTGGCCCAGGACTGACACTGTAAGTAAGCAGGCCAGCCCGAAGGAGGCTGGGGGGACAGTGAGCGCCGCCTGCAGGCAGCGTCAAGAGGTGGTGGAGAGGGGTCAGGGAAGAAGGGGTCACAGAGGAGGAGGGAGGGAGGGATGAATGTGAGATAAGAACCTCAGTGTGGTAGAAGCCACACCAGAAACACCCAGCAGCAGTGGCGACAGGAGTGGGGGGTTCCAGGCACGGAAATGGGAATGAAGGTCTGTGTTGGATTTGAGTGTTAGAACCGGAAGCTTCCTTCAGACTTCCCAGAGTGGAGGAGCCAGGATGGAGGGGTGCTGGGCAATGTGCTGAGAAGCTGGCACTGCAGATCTGGACTTAGGGAACAAGAGTGGGGCCAAAGGTCAGGAAGGGCATGCTACCCAGGGAGAAGCCCAGGAGGGAGTGTCCGTCTCTGCGACCTCTGTTCTGAGGACAAGGTTCTATTTCATTCACGGAAGGAAATGATCAAGGTTTCCATGCAGGGAGCATTGGGACCATCCACAGGGTTGGCATTTTCTGGGCTCCTGATTCCTCCTCAGGCTTCACCACGATGCAGTTGCAGACATGGCACAGCTGGTTGCTTGGACAAAAGCCCAGTGGGTTTGCAGTTCTCCAAAAACCCACATAGACCAACAGTGATGAATAAAAAGAGAAGGAGGGGGAGGAGGGTCTTCTTCCCATCTGTCTCCAGGATTCACAGTTCTCAGAAGGTAGAGGGAAAACACAACTTGACGTTTACATTCCTTTTACAGCAAACGGTTGTTCCAGAAAGAGCGCAGCAAAACCTGAATTCTTCTGAAGACAGATAAAGTAAAATGAACCAGTGCATCTCTGACTTCCTGTTGAGGATCCTGTTTAAAAAAAGTGAGAGGGAGGAATTAAAAAAAAAAAAAAAAGCAATAGAAATAATCCAAATCTAGACACTTAGCATGCTAGGAACTAGTCATTCGATCCATGTGGCAAGCAAGCAGTTTCTGAACCGAGGGAGCTGAGGGTAGGTCACCAGGCCTCTGTTGTTTGCTTCATCCTTTTTGCTGGGGAGCTGGGAGAATGGGCAGGACGTGGGCTGGGGAAGAGGTTAGATGAATCCAAGCCAAGCTGGAGGTGGCAGGGAGTTCACCAGCTTCGTTGAGCAATAGGCAGAGGTCCCTGTTTATGTGGGAACATCGAAAAGGAGGCTGAGCATCAGGCACGCTGCCCCTGTCCCTGCCCCTACTGCAGTGCTGCAGTCTCTTCTCAGCAGCACAGCCTCCCTGGGTGGTTCACCTGGGCTCCTCTGCTCAGTGATCTCAGATGGCTCCACCTCACTCAGAAGGAAAGTCAGGAGGACTTCATAATCCTGGCCTTGGGCCCACTGTCCACCTATCTGACCATGTTTTACTACCTTCTTCTCTACTCAATCTCAGCCACACTGGCCTCCTTGCAAGGCCAGACACACTCTGGCTCAGAGTCTTTGCTGTCCACAGTCTCCACGGCTCCCTGTTTGTGTCCCCCTTTCATGCCTCTGAAGGTTTTACCCAAAGTCACCTCCTCAGCGAGGTCTTCCCCCAATGCCCAGGCTTACAACTGCAGACCTTCACTCTTCCCTTTGCTAGAATTATTTTTCTCTTAAGCATGTATCACTAACTGATAAACTATATCCTTTATTGTTCGTCTCACTTTACAAACTCCATGAGGTCAGGGAGCGCTGTCTCTGCCTCACTTCCACATTTAAAACAGCCGGGCACATAGCACATGCTCAGCAAATATTAGCTGAATAATAAATCAATGAACAATAGACCATTAGCAGTAAGGTGAGGAATTTAGACTATCCTATAAGAATTATAAATCATTAAAGGATTTTTTTATGTTAACATGAGTTAGGAAAACTAAATGCATTTCCTTCCAGAATGACAGATGAGAAAAAAAACACAGAACACCAAGTCAGATGCTCATATATTTAAATCCCAATTTTGCCACTTAGAAGCTAAATGACCTTAGATGATTCACAATCTCTTTGAAACTCAACCACTTCTCCTGAAATACTTATGATGGCAATTTGTAGGGCTACTGAGAGAATTCAGTAAAACATGTAAAAGTGTCTCCAAGAGTACCTGGGAGAAATGTTAGTTTCTCTTCCTCTTTCTAAAAAACTAAGAAATTCCCTATCATTACTGTATCACTCAGGGTTCCAGAGAAAATAAAATAACACCTGAATTAGGCTAATTTGAGAAAGGTTAAATAAAGAGACTGGGCTGGGGACAGCAGAGCTGCCACCATTCCTGGGCCCTGGCAGGAAAGAAGCAACAGTTTCCAGAACCCAGAAGAGAGTCCTGTGGCGTAAAATTGCAGATCCTAAAAGCAATGAGAAGTTTAAAGTATGTTATTTTAACACACCTTATATCTAGGGAAATTACATGACCCAGATTTAAAAACATAAGACTAACAACAGAAACCAACCAAGCAAGGTATCTGAACAAAAATCCCAAATAACTAAACAGTAAAATAGAGGCAATTTTGAGAAACACAGATTACTTCTGAAAACACGTAACACTAATTTAAGTGGAAAGACCCAGAAAGCAAGAACCGTGGAAGGTCAAGAACAATCAATTTAGCAGACAATGATGAAATCTGGCGAGTTCCTTGCTCGATAGTTTCAGGAGAATGAACAACAGTTTCTTTAAATATACCAGCAGCAGGAAGGCAGTCAGAGAATCAATGTGACCACTTGATTATATACAGCACAAAAGGTAAATAAATGATGACATCTATGAAAGAAAGGAACTGGGCCAGATTTGAAATTCTATTAAAGTTGTCTGACCTAAGCTTTGAAGCAGCAGAGGCTTTAGCATTTTAAAACCAGTCTGAGGAGAAATGTTTTAAATGACTACATTTAGAATACCTGCTGTGACTTAAAGGTATCCTAAAATGCAATTTTGTAGTGGAGGGCAAGGTGACTTTAAAGGTCCAGGTCAAAGCCAGATGCAAGAAAAGCTTTAGGTAATGTAAAGATAGGATAGAATGGAATAGGATTGAGAGTCCAGAAATACCGCATCACATTTGCAGTCAATTGATTTTCAACAAGGACAATCAATAGGGTAAAACTGGTCTTTCAACAAATGGAGCCAGGACAGCTGCAAACCTACGTGCAAAAAAAAAAAATTGAAGATGAACTTCTAACTCAAACTGTTTATAAAAATGAACTCCAAGTGGATCAAAGACCTCTATTTAACTAAAATTACAAAGCTCTCAGAAGAAAAGTGTAAATCTTCATGCCTTCGACTAGGTCATTGTTTCTTAGCAATCATATGAAAAACACCCGAACCTAAAGAAAAAACAGAAAAAGTGAATTTCATTAAAAACTATACTTCAAAAAACACCATCAGAAAATGAAAGGAGCCGGGCACAGTGGCATAGGCCTATAATCCCAGCGACTTGGGAGGCTGAGGCAGGAGAATCTGAGTTTAGAGCCAGCCTCAATAACTTAGCAACATGCTAAGCAACTCAGTGAAACTATACCTCTAATAAAATACAAAATAGGGCTGGGGATGTGGCTCAGTGGTTCAGTGTCCCTGAGTTCAATCTCTGGCACCAAAAAAAAAAAAAAAAAAAAAAGGACTAGGGATGCAGCTCAGTAGTAAAGCAACCCTGGGTTCAATTCCCAGCATCAAAAATTTAAAAACCTACAATGACATAATAGACAGCTAATAACACATGTTTTAAAGGGTGAGGAAAAACTAGGACCTCATAAACTACAGATGGGCCACAAAGTAAAATGGTGAGCCCAGGTCCTTTCACACACTAGGAAAACACTCTACCACAAGTTACATCCCTAGCCAGGTGAAGCCACTTTGGAAAAAAATCTGAAAGTTCCCCAAAAGTAAAACAGTGGACATACGAGACAGCACTTCCAATTTTAGGTATGTACCCCCAAAATAACCACATCTACCCAAAGCTTTTTTTTTTTTTTACAAATTTGATAGCATCATTATTCATAATAGCCAAAAAGAAACAACCCAAATGTCCATCAACTAGTAAACAGATAAACAATGGAATACTATCCAGCAATAACCAGTAGACACATTGATTCATGCTACAACATAGATGAACCTCAAAAGAAAACAGAATAACCCAAGAAAGAAGTCTAAGGCAAAAAGCTCCACTTTGCGTTATTCCTCTATATGAAATATCCAACACAAGTAAAACCATAAAGACAGAAAGTAGGTTGGAAAGACCAGCAGGAAAACTGAGGGAAAAAAGTGACTACTTGGGCTTGGATTTCCATTTTAGGGTGATGAAAATTTTCTAAAATTGATGGCACTGATGATTATACAGTTGGGTGAACATACTAAAAATCAGTTAATTGTACACTTTGAATGGGTGAACTGGGTGGTAGGTGAATTATTCTCAATAAAGCTGATAATTAAAGAAAGAGAAGCGACAGGGTGTCAGTGTCACTTTAATGAGCTGAAGGGGCTAAGTTGAAGACTCCTAAGAAAATGCAACTCAAAAGGGAAAGGAGAGGGGAAAATGGGAACCGGTTACACGGAGCAGTAACCTCTGGACTGGGCAGAGGCAAACAGGAAGAGGATGGTTGTGACTTATCCCACTGTATTTCTTTCCTCCGAAAACAAAAACAGAAAGAACAACGAGTCCTCAGAGTTAGCCAAACATGAAGTACACAAGTTGAGCTGAAGTTCATAAAGTACAGTTGTCAAGAAAACTCTCCTGCAGAAGAAACTGTAGCAAAGGACAGAGAGGGAGATGATAAACACCGGGAATAGGTCTAATAAAAGATACAAAAGTACAGAAGTATTCAGCCTCAAATACAGAAAGGGCAAAAGCAAACAAAAATTATTCTTATTTAGACAGATAACTTGTGTGTGTGTGTGTGTGTGTGTGTGTGTGTGTGTGTGTGTACCAGGAATTGGATGCAAGGGTGCTTAACCACTGAGCCATATCTCCTGCCCTTTTTATTTGTTATTTTGAAACAGGGTCTCCCTAAGTTGCTTAGGGCCTTGCTAAATTGCTGAGGCTGGCCTCAGACTTTTGATCCTCCTGCCTCAGCCTCCTGAGTCTAGGATTACAGGCATACACCACTAACTTTAGATAGCTAACTTTTTTAAAAATATATTTTTAGTTGTAGATGGGCACAATATCTTTATTTTATTTATTTTTATATGGTGCTGAGGATGGAACCCTGTGCCCCACACATAAAAGGCAAGCGCTCTACCACTGAGCTACAACCCTAGCCCTGTGAGTCGGTCTCTAAGAGAATTACATAAATTTATCTCATTTAAACTTTCACAACAACTCTATAAGGTAAGTACCATCATAATCACCATATTACAGATGAGAACCAGGAAAGTTAAGTAACTTGCCCAAGGTCACACAGTAAGTATGAGCCAGGTTTGAATCCAGTATTTCAGCTCTAAAAGCAGCACATTTAACCCTTTACACCATAGTTGGATATTCACTGAGTGGTGAGTCCATATGTAAATATCTCTTGTATACATGTTAATCTGCCCTGGTATTCTGATAAGGTTGTCCACTGAAGCTGAAGGGTGTGGCTTTCAGGTGAGGACTTCTGAAAGGGGTCCTTTGCAGAAAATGTACAGAGGCAGGGAGGTATTCCCACCTCTCTCTGGGTCTCATTCTCTTGGGTCCTGATATCAGATCAGATGGCGAGAGGTGGCTCTTGAGAGACAGTGGTCACCAAGCAGCAGCCTGTATGGTAGAGTATGTATGGGTTTGGGAGCAAGTCAACGTGGCTTTGAGTCCTAAATCAGCAACTCGCCCTCTGTGTAACTTCTCTAAGCTTCCTTAATTGAAAAGCAGAAATAATTATAGTACCAATGCCATTGCTAGTTGAAAGAGTTTAAAAAATAAGGCAGGTAAACACTTAACACAGACCCTGGCAAATAGCAAGCATTATTTTTACATAGATTCAGTTTTTCTTCGAACTGGAGCTAGTCTGGGAGATAGGACTTGAAAGAGGCTAAAAAGCCCACAGAGAAAGCAACACGTATAATCCAAATTCTAATCTCAAGTCTCAATATCCCTGGTTCTTATAACTCCTACACAATTTCACAGCTTCTCAATTTATATTTCTAATAGTAATTTATTTTTTTTCCTAGTACTGGGAAATGAGCCCAGGAACACTCTATTATTGAGCTACATTCCTACCCTCTTTTATTTTATTTTATTTATTTTAGGATAGGGTTTCACTAAGTTGCTGAAGCTGGCCTCGACCTTGAGATCCTCCTGCTTCAGCCTCCCAAGTGTCTGGGATTACAGGTATGTGCCACCACACCCAGCTATTGTTAATAGAAATTTCAGGCTTATATGTCTCAAACAGAGCTCTTCTATTTTCCTTAATCTGTCCTTCCCAGTTCTCCCCATCCAGTAAACAGTACCACCATCCATTCAGACACCCAGGCCCAAAACACTGAAGTCATCCATGACTCTTTCTCCCTCACTACCCATATCCAATACATCAGCTGATCCTGCGGGCTCTTCATCTCCATTTTAATCTGACGATGAGTCTGATCATCCCTCACCACCTCCACTGCCACACACTGCTGCCTTTGGAGGTTCCTCTGGAACCCCTCTTGCCCTATAAACAGCCTGTTCTCAGCATGGCAACTGGACTCCACTCTAAATGTGCTCTCTCTCTCCAGAACTTTCCTTCACACTTAGTGTAAAACCCGAGCACATGATCTCCACCTCTGAAACTGAGGCCAACTCCCACCCCTCAGCTCACTCTCCCCACAGGGGCTTTGCCCTCACTCTTCCTCTGCCTGAAACACTTTTCCACAAGTGTGCCTGTGGCTCGCTCCCTCACCTCCAATCTCTGCTCACCTATCACCTCCCCAGGGAGGCCCCCCTAGTGGCCCATCCAAAGCCACTCTCCATCCTTCCGTCTCTCCTCCTCCTGCTTTGATCCCACATCCCTGTCTGGCAGGCCTGTCCCTTGTTCATCTGCTTCACGGCCTCGCCCCTGCATTTTCAGTGCTGTGAGCTTGGATTCATCTCTGTCCTTCATGCTGCACTAGCTACCAATGCCTAGAATTGAGCCTGGCATAGAATGTACTCAGTGACTTTTGTTTGCATGAAATGAGTTTATCAAATATTTCATTTGATTGTGTTTGTTCGTTTCCTTCTTGCTTCTATAGCATTATTATTAGGGCCTCCCCTTCATGGTCTGTCTCAGGGGGTGTCTGAGGAAAAGGCTGTGTACTCTCCACTTTTGGACCAGAATACAGCACTCCCTGAAGACCCTGCAGCGGCAGCTAGAGTGATTAACAAGAAATTACCATAGCACAGGTGAATGTAGGGGCAAGACTACAGGCTCTGAGGGGCAGGCACCCCTACTGTCACAGAGCCCCATGTGACCGCTATCTGCTGCCAAATACAGGTTGTTGGGGAGGCAGACTAAACAAGGTGTGAGTTTCATCATCCCCAAGATTCTGAATAGCAATCATTTCCCATGTCCTCTTCTGATCTTATCATAATCAGAAGAAACTAAGATGGCGGTGGGCTCACATCACACCTAGGGCTGGTTCAAGCAGGATAACCTTATGCTAAAGCACAGGTTCTCCCCCCACCCCCGCCTGTGCATTAAACTCACCTGGCTAGCTTTTAAAATACTGGATGCTCAGGCCTCACCCTCAGTTAAGTCAGAATTTCTAAGGGTTGAGCCCAAGCATTTGTACTTCCCAAAATTCCACAGGTATTCTAATATGCATGCTACTTGAAGGGTGTGGAGCAGTTTCTCAAATTTTAATGTGCAAACAAATCCCCCCTGCCACAGGAATGTGTAAAAGGTAGATTCTGATCTGCGGTGATGTGGGCAGGAGCCTGACATTTTGCACATCTAACCAGTTGCCAAGGGATGCTGATGCTGCCCGTCCAGTGGCCACCAGCCACCGCTGGAGTAGCAACTGTGAGATCAAATGCTGACTTTGACTCAGGCTCACCATGTACAGGTCTAATGTTTGGTGATCTAGATATTATGAATCTAAGTCCCGATTATTCCTGGGATCTCAGCCCGTGGCAGCCAGTGCTATTGCTTTTCCTACCTGGCAGGATCTTACTGGGGAAACCGAAGTCTTACCTCTTGAGCCTCCCTATAATCCATGCTATCTGCAATGTATCTCAGCTGCATGACCAAGTTCTGGATCATTTCCTCCTGGTGATGATTCTGGACAAGGCTATTCTCCTTGGACTGAGAAAGTGGAGGATGACCTGCATTGACAGAAAGAGTTCAAAAGAGATAATTCCACTTTCTCTGTAAAACCATTTACTACTAGTTACTAAAAACTGTCTCAGACAACGAGAATGATGAAATCCAACCATTATAATTATCAAAAGCAAAGCCTTGCATTGGAATAGATTGGCCCTATCCAATGGAAATATAATTCAAGCTTTTTTTTTCTTCTTTTTTTGCAGTGCTTACAATTGAACCCAAGACCTGGGTTCACCAAGCACTCTATTAGTATTACTGAGCTATACTCCCAGGCCTACATAAGTAATTTTAAATTTTCCAGTAGTAAAATTAGGTGAAATTAAATTTTTTTATAACTTTATTTAATTTATGTGGTGCTGAGCATCAAACCCAGTGCCTCACATGTGCTAAGCAAGGACAAAGTTTCTGTCCTCTAGTTGCTCACAACCCACAGGTTAGGGATGATACGATTCCCAAGAAAAAAAAGGGAATGAATTTGGACTGAAGTAGATGTAAGCATGACTTTGTAGATAAAGCCAATTTTATGTTGGACCTGTTTTATTTCAATGAAACATGAGGATCTTTGATTTTGCAGGTTTGACTCTAAGATCCAGTGGGAGAGAGAGAAACACTACCACCTAAGATGTTATAATAACAAGATTGGCACAGAGTCAGGGAAATGTCCCAGGAAGATGATCATCTGTTGAATCTTGAAGGATAACAGATGACTAATAGTCATAAATGATTCAATAGCCTGGAGAAGAAAAGATAGATGCAGTTGGGTCCCAGCTAGGCAGGGGCTGCAGGCAGGGAGGACAGGGTCTTAATGCATGAATTCGCCTCAGCCAAAACCCCTAACAGGTAGCTTATATAACAGGTGAAATATATGAACTTTTGATCAAAATTGCAACCCTACTCCCAATTATTTCTGTTTTCTATTGTTATTTTCAAAAGTACCTTGAAGCACTTGCATATTAATGAGATTCTCACCTCAGGCCATTTTGAAATAACACCCTAATGATCAGTTGACACTTGCAAAGACTACTTGACAATCTCCTTGGAAAAAGTGAGGACATCTTTGAGGGCTGAGAAATGAGAAGATGCCCAAAGAGAATAAAGGGGAACCAAATGGGGAGACTCTTCCAAACAAATTGCTCCTATTTCAAAACAATTGGCCTGCCTGAGCCAATCAAAAGCATATTAATTTACAATTATTTGTTTAATAAATGAACTGTCACCTGGGAAATACAAAATCTAATGTCTACATTAGGAAAATGAAATACAAGTTGGATAAATTTCAAAGGGACACTAGAGAAATGAGGAAACCCACAAGCTTTAGGTAGCTCAGTGACCAGGGGAGTTAGGTAGACAAAGGGGCAGAGAGGAAGGACAGGGCACAACAGAGGGGTGAGTGCTAAAAGTGAGGTATATTTGCATTCTGGAACCAACATGATTACTCATATTTTGTGCATATCTAATTGACTAAATGGCAAAACTCTGAAGGACATGGATCTATTTCACAGCTTGATGACCCAGCTCTGTGTCCTATACACAGAAGGTACTCAACAGATAATTGTCGATTAAATTTGGGTTGAATGATAACCGTGGACCTCCCTTCACCTACCCATCCCTCAACTACTGGTTACTAAGTTTACCTAAAGACAGCCCTACCTTTTAGTTAGTATTGAAGTCAGCTCTTTCATTTAAGGTTATGAAACAGCAAGAATAATGCACATCCGTATATTTTAAGCTTTTGGTATAGAATCTTATCAGAAGCCTGGAGATACACTCACAATTGCTGGTGTGAGCATTCACTGGTACAACTTCCGTGGGAGGAAGCTGGACCTCTTCGAACTTATGATGTCATATTTAACATTTATATGTGTAATTGGCTACCATCTGACCCCTTAACCAGACCATGCTCCATGAGGAAAGGAGTTATTGCTGTTTTTGTTAACCATTAGTGCCCCAGTAGCTAGCTAGTGACTGAAATATAGTAGGTCCTAGTATTTTCTTTTTGGAACTGAAGATTGAACCCAGGGACATTCTACCACTTAACTACTCCCCAGCCCTTTTTATTTTTAAATTTTGAGATAGGGTCTGGCTAAGTTGCTTGGGGTCTAAGTTGCTGCCCCTGGCTTGAACTAAGATCCTCCTGCCTCAGCCTCCCAAAATGCTGGGGATTAAGGCATGGGTCACTGTACCTGGCAGTGTTTTCTAAATGAACAACAAAAATGTATACCTTGGAGGTACACCTAGGAGCAAACCAAAAAAAAAAAAAAAGGTGAAAGTAAATATCCAAGCACCCTCAAAAGAAGTTGAACAACTGAACTCTATATCTATATATCTCATTTAAACAATACATAGACATTTATGTATTTTGCTCTTTCCTCTCAGTAATTCCTTTTTTTTTTTGGCGTGGTTTTGGGGGTTGAACCCAAGGGCGATGTACCACTGAGCTAAATTTCCAGCCTCTTTCTAATTTTGACACAGAATCTCGCTAAATTGCAGAGATCGGCCTCAAATTTGTGATCTTCCTGCCTCTGCCTCCCAAGTCACTGGAATCCCAGGTGCATGCCACCACGCGAAGTTTTAATTATGGTATTTTTGCCCTTTGTCAAGACAATCACTGCCTCCCCTCTTCCCCCAGCGATGGTGGGCGGGCCCTCCTCTTGCTTTTACTCATCTTTGTTCCCTCCAAGAGTTTCTAAATCAGCTTACATGCTGTATCAGGACGGTCACTCTGGATTTCCCACAACCTACCCATCCCGCAACTCTTTCAAGAAAAAGCGGCTTTAAATTCCCCCATACAAAAACCATGCCTTTTTTTCTAGTTACGTTTATATGAGTAGATTCCCCACAAAGTAACAGATAAATCTTGGCTTCACCAAGCCCCTTGCCAGTCAATGAATGGATTTCCATTTCAGTCTGTCACAGTTCCGACAAAAGCCACCAAGAAGACAAGGGGACCTCCTCAAGTCATCGGCTTTCCCAGTAAGAGTTTTTCTCTGAGCAGTATTTAAGGATTCTTTTTTTTTAAGGTTTTTTTTTTTAAGGGACCTCTATCGACCTCCACCACCCAGACGAGGTCCGCCCTGCGCCATGCAAACTTCCAATCCAAGCAGTTCGATGGCGGGAAAAGCGCGCGCTGGGCGGGAGAGTTGGGCTGGCTGTAGCCAATAGGAAGTGCACACGGGCGCAGCCTCCGAGGACGATCTCCTTAGCCGCCCGGGGCGCATGCGCCGCTCGCCCCGCCCGCCCGCCTAGTTACGCAGCCTTACGCGCCTCGGCCTTTGGAATCTCCTAAAGGCACCTTTGCACGCACCTCTGATCTCAGTCATCGTAGGCCCGTTTCTTAAGCGGCATCATAAACTAACGGTTATGAAGACAAACTGTGTTTCCTGGGCCAGGAAAAGTGTGGGAAGGAAGTGGGGGGCGACTCTTCCTTGCAGGACCCCTTGCTTTTCATTGTTTGGCGGCGTGGGGTGCTCACTAGTGGGCCGCCGCGCCCAAATAACCAGGTACCAGGGGGGTTTCACCTATACAGTGAATGCAGAAAGATGCGGAGTTCTCGGCATGCAAATAAACACGAACGTTAGGACCTCGGCTGTTATCGATAAATCAAGGGGAGTAGGATCAGGAACGTGGCACCCTGCTTTTGCTTTTGAAGTGAACCCGTAATTAAGAAAGCATTTTAGGTAAATGTGGCAAGGCCTCGGGGCGAGATGCCTTCGGAGATGGAAGACAGCCTTCAGTACTGAGGATTCTGCGGAGTAGCCAGTGGGAAAACGTATTGGAAGGGGTTAGAAGAGTGGGGACGATTGCTTAACTTCTGAGCATTAGAGAAGCCACTATTGCGTCTCAAAACGGTGAACTTTGTGGTCTAGGATTAAAAAAAACAGCAAGGGCTGGGGCTGTAGCTCAGTGGTAGAGCGCTTGCCTCCCATGCGTGAGGCACTGGGTTTGATCCCCAGCATCATAAATAAAGATATGTATCCATCTACAACTAAAGAAATTTTAAAAATAAATAAATAAAAAGAAGAAGAAGTATAGGGACTGGGGCTGGGCTCAGTGGTAGAGCGCTTGCCTAGCATGTGTGAGGCACTGGGTTCCATTCTCAGCACTGCATGTAAATAAATGAATGAAATAAAGGTTCATCAACATCTAAAAAAATATTTAAAAAGTATAAATTCTAGAAGTTATTCATTAGGTGACAAAAATATCACATTCTGAGAAATCACTGACGCAGAGATAAAATTTAAAATTTTAGTCAACGAGGTTTTTGTTTGGGTACTAGGATTGAACTCAGGGGCACTTGACCACTGGGCCACATCCCCAGCCCTATTTTGTATTTTATTTAGAGATAGGGTCTCACTGAGTTGCTTAGCACCTTGCTTTCGGTGAGGCTGGCTCTGAACTCCCAATCCTCCTGTCTCAGCCTCCCACGCCCCTGAGATTACAGGTGGCGCTACCATGCTGGGCCCAGTTGGTTCTAGAAAATAGGTACCACATTTGGTGTGGTGGCAAACAACTATTAAAATGCCTTTGAGATTCCACTTTTTCTGGGCTGGGAGAATGGTTTCAGTGGTACAGTACTAAACTAGCAGGTGCAAGGCCCAGGGTTTAATCCCAGGACTACACATTACTTATAATAAACATGGAACAGAAAAAAAAAAATTTCCAATTTCAGTATCTCAGCGGCATGTAATCTGTTTTCAACTGAAATTAATGTTAGTAAATCCTTACAGGTATCTAGCATATTTTTTCACCTAAAAGCATAAGACCCAATACATTTAATTCCAACACTCTCCCTTAATGCTCAAAACAAGGCTTTAGCTGGTCCCGGTGGTGCATGCCAGTGATGCCAGTTACTCAGGAGGCTGAAGCAAGAGTTTGAGCCAGTCTTGGCAATTTAGCAAGCCCCAGTCTCAAAATAAAAAATACAAAGGCCTGGGGATGTAGCCCAGTGGTAAAGTGCCCCCAGGTACCATCCCCACTACCAAATCAAACACAGAAGGCTGTAGTTTGCCAGCATTCCCAGACATTAGGAATCACATGTTTCTGCAAAACAAAATTGCCAATTTATCTTTCCTTATATTGGTAAAATCCAGACGGAACCTAATCTGAATGATCCCTACCTTGACAATACAAATATTGTCAGGTCAAATTTAAAGACAAGTTTTTGTTAAAAGATAACTTTGATCTACTTTGATTATTTAGGATCATCTTAATTAATTGTCCCATCAATGATTCAGGGCTAAAAGAAAGAAACTTGGTACCATGAAATAAGTCAGTTTTAGATTTTTGCCACCTAAGACCTTGGATGAACAGATTTGCCACTGTCTTCTTACAGTTAATTTTCAAATAATATACTTAATGCCCAATTTTATGTCCTCAATACCAAGAAAAAATATATTAAGAGGGAATATTATAATAATTTAATACTAATATCTTACCTGTGTTCCTTGACATGGCTGAACCGTGAAAAAATATATTAAGAGGGAATATTATAATAATTTAATACTAATATCTTACCTGGGTTCCTTGACATGGCTGAACCGTCCGGGGAGCTGACAAGTTGAGTCATGTATGCCCTGGGATAACTATATTTTCCCCACAATGATTTGTAACAATTTGTTACTTTGAGAGCGGCGGGTTTCAGAATTTCTTTAGGTTCATAAACAAGGCCCTCGTGACTTTTCTTCTTCATGTTTTTTCTCTGTTGAAAAATATATTTGGGGTTGGGGCTGTAGTTCAATGCCTAGCACGTGTGAGGCACGGGGTTTGATCCTTAGCACCACATAAAATAAATAAATAAAATAAAGATACTATGTCCATCTACAACTACAAAAATATATTTAAAGAAAAGAAAAACATATTTTCAGAGAATGTCTCCAATTTCCCTTTAAATATTTGGTATGTTATATGAACAGTGATGCTTTAACAGCACAAACTGCTTTAATTCCACAAATAAATATTTGGGGGTTTGAGTGAGAAGTGAAATAGGGTGATCTCTAGGTCTTTTTCAATTTAATTAAACATCTTTCTTAAGTTTCTTTAGATCTTCTTTACCTTCCCATCACACCCCGCCCCCCATTCTAATCTCCCATTAGTTTTTCTTTTCAATAGCCACATTCTATTAGGGGAGGAGTTTTAAATTGGTACAGAAAAAGAAAATTAGGTTAGGGTAGCCAAAAAAAAAAAATCAAAACACAGAGAGGTAGGGAGGAGGGGAGATGGTAATACATTGTTCTATTTCTTTTGTTGTTGGTACTGGTGATTGAACCCAGAGGCCCTCTATCACTGAGACATCCCCAAACCTTTTTAATTTTTATTTGAGACCAAGGCTTGCTAAACTGCCCAGGCTGACCTGGAATTTGCAATGTTCCTACCTCAGTCTCTGGAGTCACTGAGATTACAGGCATGCACCACCTCATCCTGAGGTGGGATAGAAGGAATAAGGATAGGTACAAAGGAGACGAACAGGGAATGGAAAAGAAACTCATTTTAAATGTGGAGAGTCCCATGAACATCTCATTTTTATTCTTCAAACCCATTTTCCTCCAGACACAAATTCTTAAAAATCTCTTGAATCTTAGAGTACTGTGAGTCTGCATGATAAATGTCTACTACATTCATTACTAGCTTATACAACATATTTTCTTTAGACTCAATAAAGCAAAGGGAAAATATTGTTAGAGACTGAAGATGTAGGTATATTTCAAACATTATTTATTGAGTGGATGACATCAACCTAGAGATTCTAAAGAGAACCACCACCCTGACCCACCCTGGGCTCCTGGAGTAAAAGAATTCAACTCACCAAGCTGAGGTCAACCCCCACGTGCTTCTCATCTTCGCTATTTACAATATTTGCTTTAAAAAGAAAAGACCCCGGGCTGGGGCTGGGGCTGGGGCTCAGTGGTAGCCCACTTGCCTGGCATGTGTGAGGCACTGGGTTCGATTCTCATCACCCCATATAAATAAATAAATAAAATAAAGGTCTATCAACAACTAAAAAATTAAAAAAAGGAAAAGCCCAAAACTACATCTCACCCTCAAGCACCCCACCCAATCAGCATTCCTTCTCCCTTTGAGTATGTACCCCGCTCTATTGTTTGCTTTCCTGAATAAACCCTGTTGCTCAACTAAATAAAGCTTTATTTGAGCTTCTTTTGATGCATCCTGAAATTCCCTTCTGTGGCATAAGTCAGGAATCTGCCAGGGATGACTTGAGGTCCCCTTCTCCATTCTGGGTGACTTCCTTGGACCTTCGTCTGGTGACAATCCAGTTATTTGTCCTGATTCTTCATGTGTATGAGTCCCTCTCCAGAACAATTCTTATATTCTTCTCTCCTTTTTCCTCTTTACAGGTACCATAAAGGCTCCCTCCTATGCCACTCACTTTACCTGATTTTATAGCACCAATTCAATGAGTTAAAAAAATTGAATTAAGACTTTCATTATCTTTCTTTCTTTATTTTCTTGATTTAAAGATTGTAAAGTGAAAGTACAACTTTCTATTGTACCTTCCAAATCTAACAGTTACTGAAAAAGGAAGGAATTAGTCACTATAATGAGTACCAAAAGAAGGTCATAGCAGGACACAGTGGCACATGCCCGTGACCCCAGCTACTCAGGAGGTTGAGGCAGGAGAATCACAAGTTTGAAGTCATCCTGGGCAGCTTAGCAAGACTCATCTCAGGATAAGAAATAAAAATGGCTGGGGATGTCACTCAGTAGTAGAGCACCCCTGGGTTCAATCCCCAGTACTGAAAAAAAAAATTTTTTTAAAGGTAATAGAGGAGGCCTTCAGGAGCCTTAAAGCAGTGCTGTCTAATAAAAGTAAGTGTTCCAAATATGTAATTTTAAGATTTATAATAGATAAAAAAGTACAAAGAAACAAGTGAAATTAATGTTAATGACCTATATTATTTCACTTAGTACATCCCAAAATAAGTCTAAATGCTAGCATTTCAACATGTAATCAATATTTTTTAAACTTTTTAAAATATGCATTTTTAATAACTTTTTATTTTATTTATTTATTTTTATGTGGTGCTGAGGATCAAACCCAGGGCCTTGCACATGTGAGGCGAGCACTCTACCACGGAGCCGTAACCCCAGCCCCTGTAATCAGTATTTTTAAATGAAATATCTTACATTCTCAATAAGCTAAGTCTTTGAAACCTGGTATGTATTTGGCACTTGAGGGAGATGTAGGAGGGCTTAGGCAGCCAGGGCAAGAGGGCAGTGAGGAGGGGCGGGGCCAGAACAAAGGAGCTTGGAGAGGGTCTTTGATGAGGTCAACTTCCTGCTTGATGAAAGTGTTCCTGGACACAAGGGGGGACCCAATCAGACACTCATCCTCTAAGTGGAGGATCCAATAGAAAGACTAAAACAGACGCGTGGACAGAGGGGGCACCAGTCAATAATAGTGAGGAGCACTTGGACAGGGGAGGAGATAAGAAACCAGGAAGTTCCAGAGACCATATAAAGAACAGACCCAAACTCCCCCACCAGATTCCCAGCTCCAGGGCCCCTTCTGTTTGGAGAATCTATTTGTGTTTCTCTGTCACTTTTGCAATAAAACTACTTCCTGCTTGCTAGCTCTGTGTCCTGTTCTTCAATTCTTTGTTGAACAGAGACGATGAACCCAGCACCCCTAGAGTGTAACACACCCTTCAGCACATCTCAGATGAGCAGCAGTTCAGGTGCTCAACAGCACAGCTTCAGAAGAATGGGCAAGGATTGAGAGGAAATCCACTTTGAGAGAAAGACAATAGATGGCTTTCTCAGCTGCACAGAACCAAGGGGAGGAAGGTCAAGTAGAATTACCACTCAGCATTTTCCAGCGTAAAATGCTTCTTCAATATATTGATTAAGTTTATAATTCAGGCCAAACTGAGAGAAAAGGAGCTAAGAATAACAGGTTGTGGGTTTCTGGGTATTTTTGGTGCCTTGGGTATACTTCATTTCATCTATACTTTGTCAGGAAACTTCTGTCCTTAATCAGACTTCTCAATAAAACTTCTACTGGGAAAAAGATTTAATATATTTAATACTTAACATAAGTATTAAAATTCCTAGATGGGCTAATTGACAGTCAAGATGCAGATACAGGTAAGTGTATAGTAAAGATGGGTGGCTACCTCTTTCTGCTACCCCTGCCAGCTGCTGCCAATATGCCTGATCCAATGAGGACCAGGTCGAGGATTGCTCTTTTGTGTCTGGGACATTAAAGTGGTGTCCAGGAGGGGGAGAAAAGGGCCAATTAAGCCTCCCCCTCAGGGTGAGTGTCTGGTTATAGTTATATCAGGTGTGAGGAGGGCAGGGAAGCAGAGGTTAGGAATAGGGAGTGTCCAGCTGTGAAGAATGGAGCTTCTGCAGAGGAAGAAGATGCCAGCTGGCTCTGGGGTGACTGAGTGACATTGTAAGTTGTGTTGCATAGATAACTGTTAGGTGGCATGGTGGAATAGAGACAGCGTGGGGGAGGGTGCAGCAAAGTAGGAGACATTGGAATAAAGTGGTCTCAAGGAATTGTTTGAGAAAATGGTGAAGAGAGAGATTAGACTGGAGGTCCAGGAGAGGGACAGTGAGTGAGAAGTGAACATGAACACATAGGATGTCTTCGGCTCCAGCTACCTCTGGCAATGGTAGAAAGGGGACTGCTGAAGCCACTGGGTGAGGCCCACGAGAAAGAGGGGAGAAAGAAGGAGAAGGAGAGGTGGGAGCAGGAGATGTGGTGTTGAGGTCAAGACAAGGGGCAGGGGGATGAAGGACAGGGCCGGACAGGAAAGATGGGTCCCTGTTTAGTGAAGGGGCCTCCAAGTGAGTTGATGAAGGTATGGCTGGGCGAGGTGACAGAGAAGCATAGGGTGGAGGTTGAGAAAGTGAAGAGTGATCTTGCGGCTAGGATTGGGAGGTAAAGGGGATAAGGGAGAGCGAGCAAGGAGGTCCTACACAGGGGAGCAGGAGTGACACAAAGAGGGACGAAAGTGAAGAAAAGAGAAGGCTTGAATACAGCGGATTTCGGTCAACTTGCTGCTGCAGAGACAGAAATTGTATAAATCCTGTATAACGTTGGGATTGAAGGTCCCATTCTCTGGCCAAGAGGAGTCATTATCTAATTTATATCGGGGCCAGGCTGTGTTACTATTGAAGACGAGTTTGGGAGATTTGAGATCTGGAGACAAATGGAGAGGGCAAGGGTTTCTGAGGAGACAGCCAAGGGGGGAGGGGCAGGGAATCTTGGTTTGGGCAGAGCCCAAGGCAAAGAGTTCTCAGGAACCCAGAGAAGGGAACAGGAGGGGAAGGGGTGTCCTCACAACCTCTCTGATTTCCCATGAAGAAGCAGACCATCAGTGAGGATCATCACCACCCCTGACAGGTCCATGGCTGAAGCCAAGGGAGGCCCTGACCCAGCGCCAGGATTTAACAAGAGAGAGCCAGTGAGAGCGCAGAGCCGCTACTGAAGGGTTCCAAGAACTCACCCCAGTAGAGGGAAGGCTGTCAAGAGTCGAGTTCTGTGGTGGGTGAGGAGGTCAGCAACAGCAAGAGGCAGAAACACCCTGTTGTGGATATTGGCCAGGGAGAATGAGGTACAGTCAAGGTGGCTCAGATCCCCATGAAGGGACAGCCAGCAAGCAATAACCATGGACCCTGTCCTGAGTTTCAGCACCAAAATGTTAGGGTAGCTGGTGCAAATAT